CAATTCATATCAAAATAGTTAAAACTTGTGTCAGGCCGCAATTCTTTATTTTTCATTTCCTGTCCTGCCCCAACTGGAAAGAAACTGGGAAAAACATAAATTAAACATAAAAATATTTATTTTTATAATGTCTCCTGCTTGTAATATAGACCCTCTATACAATATAAAATCATAGATATAAATTCCATGTCTACATCACTATCATTGATTCAAGAAGCCAGCTGCAGTTTTAACTCCACGGCAGAATGACTTTCATATAAATAAATATAGGATTGACATAGCTATTTATTTTTAGTTTTATTTTGACCGAGCTTGTGTGGAAAAGCTGGAATAAATCTGTGAAACAAAAAATTACAAAAGTGTGGCCTCATGTCTTTGTGGCGGTGCCTTGTGTTACACTGAAAACAGGTCCATGAAAGAGGAAGAGGATTTGAAGCATAATTAGAAATTATTGCATTGAATGCAATTTTTAAAATAATATGTTAATATAAAGAAATAAGCAAATTAAAAAAAGTTCGAACATTGAATAAACTTATTTTTTTCCCAATTTGCCTGTCAAGAGCACTTTGTTTGGAATCCTAGAGAAGAGCTGGAAATGGATGTATCCATTACGATAGTTGTAGAAATAGCTGTAGTTTGGGTACATCTGAAGAGAGAAGGAGATGGTAGGAAAGGGGAACACATTGTTTTTAAGTCAATTTTAGTACGGTAATCACATCTGTGACATATCTGACCCGTGGACCCGTGAAGATCCAGGGTAGACTAGGTCTTCAGCAACCCATGCTTGCCGTAAAGGCGACTATGCTTGTCGTAAGAGGTGACTAACGGGATCGTGTGGTCAGGCTCGCTGACTTGGTTGATGCATGTTATCGTATCCCAATTGCATGGATCAATGCTCATGATGTCAAACACTGGATTGTCTGGTCCAGATTGTCTAGATTATTTACAGACCACCGCCATATAGCTAACTAACAAAGATATATTTCTTGTTTCACCTGACCCACCTACGGCTATATTTGCCCCCGCCTTTTTAGGAGATAAACATCATGTGTTTTCAGATGCCCGAATATTTTAATATTTAGTTCTTCCAGCTACTGTTGTCGATTCCTAATCAGATTTCAGACATTTTAAAATACAGAAGTAATCAGTCACTAGAAGCACACACTTTCTCTCTCGCTGATTTTTTGTGAGACACATGTGATGTCACTCTGGAATACAATTACACCACGTATCCGTAGTGTTGATTGTTGCTTGATTATTTACAGCCTGCCATCATAGGGCTGGAATATTGCTGAGCATTAAACAACAAACGAACAAACAAACAAACAATTACGCCATGATGCAATGAATGACATGGCATGCTTCCGTGATAACTGAACTATCCTCGTCAGCAGAATGTGGAGAAAAAAACTAAATCGAAGTCAATCAGACTTCATATTTCATTATTGTGGTACCCATTTTCCAAATACAAATAGAAGACTGTTCAAATTTGTAATTGAGAAACAAATATTTAAAAAAAATAAAATTCTAATCAAGAAACAAATTCATACGCAGATAACACTTCGAAATATTTTCTAACTTTATTTCCCATTCAACAATATTTGTACCCATGTTGGAAATCAAACCCGGGTATTCGGCATGACAAGCGAACGCTTTAACCACTAGGCTACCCCCCCCACCCGCTCCCCCGGTCTATTTTCTGTGTCTGTTAACCATGTGACATAACATGTTTGGAATGAATGATGAATGGCTGGCATTGAAGGAGCCCCACACAATCACAATTATGTGAAAAATGACGTGGAAAATGTTGATGGTGTCCTTGACATTTCTAATTAGTATGGGCAGGATGTAGGGTAAGTGCCAAGCTTGAAGTAAAAGGTCAGTGTTGTTGCTTCAATAATTCTCATTGCCCATGACACCTATACTGACTGAAATGTAAATGTTGACATATTTTGAAAAGAAAAAGATGTACTAAATATATATTGGTGTATCTCAATAGAGCCTATGATCTGTCTCAATGTGCCGTGCAGTTATCAGTTTACATGCTACAGGCCCTATGATCTGTCTTAATGTGCAGTGCAGTTATCAGTTTACATGCTACAGGCCCTATGATCTGTCTCAATGTGCTGTGCAGTTATCAGTTAACATGCTACAGGCCCTATGCTCTGTCTCAATATGCCCTGCAGTTATCAGTTTACATGCTACAGGCCCTATGATCTGTCTGAATGTGCTGTGCAGTTATCAGTTTACATGCTACAGGCCCTATGATCTGTCTCAATGTGCTGTGCAGTTGTCAGTTTACATGCTACAGGCCCTATGATCTGTCTTAATGTGCCGTGCAGTTATCAGTTTACATGCTACAGGCCCTATGATCTGTCTTAATGTGCCGTGCAGTTATCAGTTTACATGCTACAGGCCCTGTGATCTGTCTCAGTGTGCTGTGCAGTTATCAGTTTACATGCTACAGGCCCTATGATCTGTCTTAATGTGCCGTGCAGTTATCAGTTTACATGCTACAGGCCCTATGATCTGTCTAAATGTGCTGTGCAGTTATCAGTTTACATGCTACAGGCCCTATGATCTGTCTTAATGTGCCGTGCAGTTATCAGTTTACATGCTACAGGCCCTATGATCTGTCTCAATGTGCTGTGCAGTTATCAGTTTACATGCTACAGGCCCTATGATCTGTCTCAATGTGCTGTGCAGTTATCAGTTTACATGCTACAGGCCCTATGATCTGTCTCAATGTGCCCTGCAGTTATCAGTTTACATGCTACAGGCCCTATGATCTGTCTCAATGTGCCCTGCAGTTATCAGTTTACATGCTACAGGCCCTATGATCTGTCTGAATGTGCTGTGCAGTTATCAGTTTACATGCTACAGGCCCTATGATCTGTCTCAATGTGCTGTGCAGTTATCAGTTTACATGCTACAGGCCCTATGATCTGTCTCAATGTGCTGTGCAGTTATCAGTTTACATGCTACAGGCCCTATGATCTGTCTCAATGTGCCCTGCAGTTATCAGTTTACATGCTACAGGCCCTATGATCTGTCTCAATGTGCTGTGCAGTTATCAGTTTACATGCTACAGGCCCTATGATCTGTCTCAATGTGCTGTGCAGTTATCAGTTTACATGCTACAGGCCCTATGATCTGTCTCAATGTGCCCTGCAGTTATCAGTTTACATGCTACAGGCCCTATGATCTGTCTCTGTGCCATGCAGTTCACAGTTAATGTGCTCAAGACCTGATGTTAACTCAACTTTTTTGATAAAGCTGAACTGTTAAAATATTCTTTGTAAGCTTGGATGTAAATCTGGAAAATGTTGACCCAGTTATTGCTAGTGATGTCAATATTGTTGTTTATTGCACATCCCAATTCATCCAATCTATTAAAGTCGTTTATCCATAACCGCTGAAGCTAGTTTTTGTATTGCCCCTATACCTTTCCAATATCCTGGAATATCATCTGCGATTTTAAGCCATCCAAATACGGTTATCAGTGCAGTGTATTTAGGATGTTGTAGAGGTACCGATAAGCTGCGTATTTGCGTAAAATCCCCCCCCAAAAAAAAATTATAAAAAAATATATATATATTCAAAACCCTATTACTATCACTTAATTTGCATACAGAAATGCATGAATTAAATTAAAAACTCAGATGTATTAACAGCACGCATAAACACCCAAAGGAGTTTTTTCAGCTTGCAGCTACTTTACTTTCCGAGTCAAGCCTATAATTAAAACCGTTATACATCTTAAACATTATTTCATTTTTTTAATCTCAAAATGTTTATTCATTTTGGGAAAAATCCAATAGACTGATGAATGGATGTGTGAAAAAGAATATTGGTTACCCAATGAAAAAGTGTATTAATACCAATTAAAATAGAAACCCTAGAGTAAAAACTTGCTCAAAAAGTTGTGTAGAGCTCTGCTGTGGTGTCCCCTAAGTTCGAACCGGAACCCTTCCTGTTGTCAGTCTCCATCACTAGGCTGATGAGGTAGATCTACTAGCATCTACTTGTGTTGTTGAGAGGGCGGTAACACACTAACACACACATAATCACCCGCCTGGGACTTCAGAGCACACTAGGCTGTGGGATAATATTTAATATTCCCCGGCTGTTTAATCAGCGTAATGTGAAATGTGTAGGTCATCCAAGTGTGGTATATATCCTCCTGCAGCAGCAGCAGCAGCTCCACACTGGATGTACTTCCCTGTACTTCCCAGAGTACTCCTCTCGCTCAGTTTGTAATGGCAGTTATTTGATTAGGCAGGGAATCGAAAATTAGGCCAATAATAATGATCGAGTCATCCAGTGTTTTGTTTACAAAGGCTACTGGAGCAGAACATTCACTACATTGCCTGGAGCACTGACATCTGGGGCCAGAGTTCATCAAGGACATTTCAATTGAACAATGACGAGTGTTCGAGTTGTGTTTGTTGGTTTGTTTGTCAGCAATATTCCAGCTATATGATGGCGGTCAGAAATAATCGAGTCTGGACCAGACAATCCAGTGATTGATGTCAGCGAGCCTGACCTCCCGATCCCGTATATATAAGTCGCCTCTTCTGACATACGGGTCTTCATGGGTCACATAAGCAATGAGAGACTAGGGTGTCACAGTATTGTTTGAGTGAGTGAGTGAGTGAGTTGGGTTTGATGCTGCTTTTAACAGTATTCCAGTTATATCACAGCGTGTCAGCTTAATGTGGTAGGAAAGCCTGATATGATGCAGGTCTCAGTTGTTTACCAATTTGGTGAAACCCACGAGCACGGGTATGGTGCTGACAAACCTAAAACATAATCAGGGCAAACCAGGAATCAAACCCACATTCATAGCTTTCTGGCGTGCCCAAGGGACACAACTCTGCACAGAGAAGTGCATCGCCTTAGACAACTGGGCCACCCACGCCCCAGTTATGGTTTGAGAATGGAATATGTAAAATGTACCATGTAAAAGAAAAAACAAATAATTAGAGAAAAGACAAAGATTTGGTATATACTTTTTATTTACAAATAAAAACTGCTATAACAATATGTTACTAAACAAATTGTTTACTACATTACTAAACAAATTGTTTACTACATTGCCAGTAACAAACATGTAAAATATTGTCACAACATTGTCATACAAATAGTTTTACAGTCAAGTGTATAATTTGGTAAGCTGAGGTCAATGCCGGTCAAAGCCTGTCAATGCTTGTCAATGCCTGTCAGTACTTGTCAATTCTAGTCAAATACAATATTTTATCATTTAGCAATTCATCTGGTAACAATGTTTGTTTGTTTGTTGTTTAACCCCGCACTCAGCAATATTCCAGGTATATGATGGCGGTCTGTAAATAATCGAGTCTGGAACAGACAATATAAGTGATTAATATCATGAGCATCGATCCACGCAATTGGGGTCGATGGCATGCATCAACCAAGTCAGCGAGAGCCTGACTCGATCCCATAAGTCGCCTCTCAAGACAAGCTGTTGACAAATGAAATAGGATATTTAGGTACTCTGAATCCCTCAAATGACATATGTTAAGTTGTGTGCAAGGTCGTTCACAAATGTTTCCCCTACAAATTGATTCACACATTGGCGTAAATGATCATGTGATTTTCCTCTCAAGTTGTTATCTCCCCTGTATCAATCTCTGTCAAGCACTTTAGCTCCCAATAAATCCCAGTGCATATCACAATACAGTGATATATCCCATTTTACCGATACACAGCCTTAGTCTATCCCAAGGTAAGGCAGTTAACTGACTACAAAAGTCCAGGTTCCACCATTGCCGAGCTAGGCTGCAATTATGGAGTTATATTTTGGCTGGACTAACGAGCCTGTGCATAGTTCAAACAAAATCTACATCTGGTTTGTAAAATGCCATGCAGATTTTGGTCAATTGCAGGATTTGTAAAGCATGTATTCCATCAACTTAGCGTCAACAGATGTTTTCCAAATCTTTTAATGTTTTAAATCAAGGTGCTCACATGAGTTTGCTCGGGACGATGTGAGACCCGTTTAATTATAAATTTTGATTATCAATCAGATCGTCTTGACCAGGTGCTGCCGTTTTGTTTGAAGCAAATGCAAGTGATATGAAAGGTGTAATCTGATTGGTCAATAGTAGGGACATAGAAGGGCATAACTCATGATAGCCACTGGTGGCACTACGATTGAGCCCAGAAATTCCATCCATCTGGAAACTGGACTTTTACAGTCAGTTAACTCCCTTGCTTAGAGAAGATTTCACTTCTCCACACCGTATCAGCCATATGTATTCATGGGCAGGGGAAGAAACACAGTGCATACAGACCGTAAACGTTGACGATGCTATGTTGCATAATTCCCTTGTAAAGGTGTTGAAAGTTAAAATCTCCAGTCTCCAGTCTGCTCGTTACGGTCCAAGGATTAAAATGTAAGATGACGTCATGGTCATGGTCATAGGTTTAGTCATAGGTAGATTTGTTTCCTTCTAAAGAAACACTGTAACTGAAACACTGTACTGAAACACTGTAACTGAATTCACTCTGTATATAATGTGTTTGTTTCTAAGGCAACACTGTAATGAGGTTTTGTTTGTTTCTGAATTCACACTGTACAAGATGTTTTTGTTTCTGAGGCAACACTAACACAGTTTGTTTGTTTCTGAATTTACAATAAACATGATACATGTCAATAAGTCACCTAAAGACATTGTTCCATGAATGGCAAAGTTCGTCAAATATCAGTATCATATATTTCATCTTCTCATGTTTATAGTCACCTAGTAGGCAAGGTCATTAGTTGTTAGTGCGTGGGGTAACTCGTTGTCGCCGTGGTCGTCTTGTAGTACCATCCGGTTCTGGTTCTGGCTCCGGAGTACGGAGCACAACATCGGAGGGGGAGGCGCACACTTGCTGCACATTGGTTGATTGTGGGTAACGATGACACTGAAACTTACTTGGCCAAGGGAGACCATTGGACAGGCGACGATAAGCTCTCTCACAGCTCCGGCGCACACCCTCGCAAATTTCCCGACATGGCAGAGCAAAGGGAGTCTCTGCTCTGACACAATACGGCATGTATATCCCACACATGAAGAATCGGAGGTGAGGGGAACAGTTGGTCCTCAGCAGGTCCTGAAACTGTTGCATCTCGTTCTCGATCTCATCCACGTTGCACTGCAGGAACATGTTGGGCAGAGACCCTTGGGAGAAGGTCAGGTTCTGGCACAAGGCGATGGGGTTCTGCTCGCAAGTAAGATGGCGCTGGTGGCAGGAGGGGACTCTCTGTTTGGGCGGGACACAGTTCCGTTGCCGATGTGATGGAAGACTCCTGCACTGGAACTGAGATGGCCACTGGGACTGCAACTGCCTCATCCTCACCTTACATTTGCGTGCGCGGTTGCAAGTCTCTTTACAGGGTAACTGCAGGGCGGTTTGACCTGGGGTGCACTTGGGCAAATGGTAGCCGCATGCGGTTGTTCGGAAATCAGCAGAGCATCCGATGTCCATGAAAGCCCACATGTATTCCAGGGCGCGGTAGACCTGGAGCTGGGTGGTATGTCCAAACTGATTGGGAAGACGGGTGTGGCGATATCCGATCATACCTCGACACATGGGTACTTGGATCACCTCGCACTCGGTCGAGTTCGTTGGAAGCGGGACCGAAGAGCCTCTGTTATTGCCCTGGCTAGAGGAAGGACTCCCACCTCTTCGACCACCATTTCCACGACGATTTGGGCGGTTTTGCCGGTTTGGTCGGTTCTGTCGGTTCGGTCGGTTTGGTCGGTTCTGGCGATTTCCTGGATTTCTGCGATTACCTCTTTGCCTTTGTGCTGAAACACATGATGCCAAACAGAGTATGGCACAGAGCAGGACCATATACACCCTCCAGTTCATCTTGATGACTGGTGACTTGTGCAGGGGAGCAGACTGAGAGGGACCGGACTGGCTAAACCGGTCATGATGGAGGCTCCACATGGGTCAGATTGAGGGGCGGAATCCATATTGTACCAATATCAATGTATGACAGGTCCCTGTTTGTCTGTCTCACAGTCCCTGAACCACATTATTTTCCCTTCCGCCGAGCTCTTACTGTAATCCTATAGCCAAATTTGAAGCAAGTCTAAATTTTCCACAGGTTCTCCAGTCTAACTAGGGCTCCTTTTCAATTTAAATGGATTGTTTGTTTCGATCAATATTATATAATTTTATAAATTTTCAGAGACTAAGCTTTAGTTTGGAGTTCCTGTCTATGTAAACAAGTAGTAGGGAATGGATGATTTCTTGACGGCCATGATTAGATAACACTTATAGATTTCGTTGGTCCTTGGTATGAAATCAAAGAGTGATTACTTGAAGGTTTATTTTCGTTTGTTTTTTAAATTGTTCTCGCCAAAGCAGCAGAGCAGTTTGTTAATTTTTATCGCCAAAATCAACTTTCAAGTGTAGACAGTCTGCCAGTTTATGTACACTTGTATAAAAATGCTGTGTATTTGCGCTATAACCAGGTATAGCTTTGTACCTCCTCTTTGGGACCCGTGAAGAATAGGTCTTCTGCAACCCATGCTTGCTGTAAAAGGCGACTATGCTTGTCATAAGATGCTACTAACGGGATCAGGTGGTCAGGCTCACTGACTTGGTTGATGCACAGTCATCCATCCCAATTGCGTGGATCGATGCTCATGATATCAATCACTGGATTGTCTGGTCCAGACTCGATTATTTACAGACTGCCGTCATATAGCTGGAATATTGCTGAGTGCAGCGTTAAACAACAAACCAACCAACCAAACCTCCTCTCTTGGTTGTCACCTGTTGGCTAAAAGTGTCAAGCTAGTTAGATGAGACAACAGTGGAACCAGTTTATATCAGTATGGACAAAAACCCTGTCTTCATATGTATCAAACTTGTATTACTAGTTTTAGCTTTTTGTTTATGCATTCTCAATTTAATTCTATGAATAATGTCATCAAACTAAAAAAAAAAAGTTCAATATTTTAGATTGGTTTTAAGGGTATTTTGAATTTTCAAAAGTTGAATTTTCTCTAACTTCAATTCAAACAAATTTTAACTATAATCTGAAATTTGTGAATTCTTAGCCCATTCACCTTGTGGAGCCCCACTTGTGAGTGGAGCAGTACTTTAGCTGGAGTCAATTGGTCTCAAGTCAAGTGGTCTGAGTTAAAGTGGCTGGACCGAGAGACTTAATGGAGGGGCTATCTCCACTAACACACTTGCTCATTAGGTCAAGCATCCAACACTCCAGTCCAACATATACTTGTCCCTCCTTGCAGTTCATGTTTATAGAATTTTGAAAATGATTGATAAGAAAACTGACAAAAAAATATTTTTTTAAACCAAAATCAAATTCATTTAAGTCATAGATTTATTTCAATGCTTTTTAATCGTTTTTAATTGAGAATCTCACCCGAGTGTCTTTTGATATCAAATATATCAACACAAGTTGATAAAAGCGGAAAAATTCCGAGGCTTGCCGAGGATTTTTGCCACGTTTATCAACGAGGGTTGATATATTTGATATCAAAAGACACGAGTGTGAGATTTTATTTATCATCCAACATCATTCTTTCAACTTTTTCAATTTGTAGACAGTAATTAGCAGTGTCTTCAGTGTAAAAAGTACTGCAAACAGCTTCAGTAGCAGAGCCATTAGTGATGTCATTTGATTGTGACGTCATGATAACCAGTGACGTCACAATGGTCTGCAAACCATTGTGATGTAATTTCATTGCAGCAATATAAACAGTGTAGATATCGCTTGATCTCATCCAAGTGATATCTCCTGTGGGACCCAGTTTGGGATGATAAAGTATTTATTATCACAAATCCCCAATTATGAATGTTTTTCTCTGCATGTGTGAATATATTGGCTACTGGTCTGTGAAAAGGGAAATCCCAAATGGGTTACTGGTTATAAATAGATTTGAAAAACTAAATCACTGAAAGAATTTAATTCCATCGAAAAGCCTACTTCTATATAATATTATATTATTGAACATTTATATACTGCAGGAATCCAGGTACTATAGCTAGTTGCTGCTCAAATGTGGTTTTATTTGTTCCCCGACCAGTGGATCTGATTGCATTCCAATTATCATTCTCACCTTTACACATTATTGATTGGGATTCAGGATAAATGGGGAATCTTACCCAGATACTGTCCTTTGATATCAAATATATCAGCACGCGTTTATAAAAGTTAAATAGTGATTGATAACTGTTATTTATGAGTGTTGATATATTTGATATTGAATAAAACACAAGGATGAGATTCTCTTTGATCATCAAAAATCCTTCTATTTCTCTTTGTCAACACTTACAACCATTGTCGAGTGTGAAATGTACATCTAACCGGCTTCAGTAGCAGGAGCAAGTTGGGTAGCCGAGTGGTCAAAGTGTTCATTCATCATGCTGAAAACCTGGGTTCGATTCCCAACATGGGTACATTGTGTGAAGCTCATTTCCGTTGATATTGCTGGAATATTGCTAAAAGCAACACAGAACCACACTCACTTACTGTGACTTTATTGAGCTTCATCGTGCCCTCATGGCCTGGATCGATGCTCATAATATCAGTCATTGGATTCTCTGGTCCAGAGTCAATTATTTACAGACTGCAGTCATATAGCTGAAATATTGCTATCACAGCGATAAAAACAGATAGAACAAATAAAACGTGATACCGCTGCGGACAAAGAGAATTATTTTTTATCCAGCACCACATGTGCAACAAAACCTGCAATCAGGATTGTCGTAACAGATTTTGCAATCTGATCTTTACACTCAAGTGATGTAAGTCACGAAAAGATAATAATCAAATAACCGACCAGTCAACATGACGATGATCACTGAGGCAATTTAGCCGACAATTACACTTCAAAGACTTTGATGGATGTATTGGGTAAGTTCACAGTGACCAGAGAGGGGAATTCTTCTCCGTTGTTGTGTGTAGAGAAGTGTATGGAAGCAGTCAGCCATGGGGTATTGTCAACTGTTTGACGGCATTCTGCTGGAGTAAACACTGCGTCCTTGGTGACAATGTTTGCTTCCCTCTTGGTCTCTGTCCCGTGGTAGATCAGGTGTTGGTAGAAAGGATTTTTTCTGGACGACGGTGGAATTAATTCCGTGTTTATTATTCTGTGTGGAGTACTGCATGCAGGTCGACCTGTGTAGTCCCAGCTTGTTGTAGGTCAGTATATCATCAGTATATCAGGGTTGATCCACCTTGTCATGTACTGCAGGCAACAGCTCACTGGTTCTTATGCCAACTCTGCGTGTGTGTGTGTGTGTGTGTGTGTGTGTGTGTGTGTGTGTGTGTAGGTCTGTCTGTCTGTGTGTGTGTGTGTGTGTGTGTGTGTGTGTGTGTGTGTGTGTGTGTGTGTGTGTGTTTGTGTGTGTGTGTGTGTGTGTGTGTGTGTAGGTCTGTCTGTGTGTGTGTGTGTGTGTGTGTGTGTGTGTGTGTGTGTGTGTGTGTGTGTGTGTAGGTCTGTCTGTCTGTGTGTGTGTGTGTGTGTGTGTGTCTCTGTGTGTGTGTGTGTATGTAGGTCTGTCTGTCTCTCTGTGTGTGTGTGTGTGTGTGTGTGTGTGTAGGTGTGTAGGTCTGTGTGTGTGTAGGTCTGTGTCTGTGTGTGTGTAGGTGTGTGTGTGTGTGTGTTGGTGTGTGTAGGTCTGTGTGTGTGTTGGTGTGTGTGTGTGTGTGTTGGTGTGTGTGTGTTAGTGTGTGTGTGTGTAGGTCTGTGTGTGTGTGTAGGTCTCTGTGTGTGTGTGTGTCTGTCTGTCTGTGTGTGTGTAGGTCTCTGTCTGTGTGTGTGTGTGTGTGTGTGTGTGTGTGTGTGTCTGTGTGTGTGTGTGTGTCTGTGTGTGTGTGTGTGTGTGTTTCCAGGTAGACTCCCTGTCCACTACACCACAACATCTACTGAAGTTTAGATCTGTATTAACTACTGACATACATTTTGTACTGAATAAGGTCAGAAATCGGTATTTAAGCAAATATTGTGATAACATTGCAGTTGTGTTGTAGCGATTGTTATATTTTAGTTATAATCAGCCAGGTCCACAAGCTGGGTTTGTTAGAGGATGAGCAAGTCTACACGACATGTTCTTTAGTCTACACGACATGTTCTTTCACTGGTGAAATGTGCTAGTTGCTTGTGTGTTATTTGTGGCTTTCCCACAGTCTAAGCTGACTCACCAAGATAATACTGTTTGTTTGTTTGTTTGTTTGTTTGTTGTTTAACGCCACACTCAGCTATATGACGGCAGTAAATTATTGAGTCTGGACCAGACAATCCAGTGATGGACATCGTGAGCATCGATCCATGCAATTGGTTTCGATGACATGCATCAAGCAAGCCTGATCCCCCGATCATGTTTGTTGTCGCAATATTCCAGTTATATGACGGCGGTCTGTAAATAATCGAGTCTGGACCAGACAACCCAGTAACTGACATCATGAGCATCAATCCACGCATTTGGGATATGATGACATGCATCAACCATGTCAGCGAGCCTGACCACCCGATCCCGTTCGCATAATTGCCTTTTACAGCAATCATGGGCGGTGGAGACCTATTCTACCCCGGATCTTCACGGGCCCAATCTTGTGGGGGTCATGGCATGAGGAGGTTAGATATAGAACCACCGACTTTCCGCTCTCTGGGAAGATGCTCTATCCCCTTGACCACAGAGGTGGCCGGCATTCATTTATCAATCACTGGATTGTTTGGTCCACACTCAATTATTCTCAGATCGCCGTCATATAGCTGGAATATTGCTAAGTGTGGCGTTAAATACACAAATAAACAAAACAAACTTTAGAGATGGAAGATGTTATTGCACTGCCTTGTGCTCATCTTTAAGGGGATATAACAAGGACTGGTCGTCTCTGTAAACTGTATTTGTATGTCACTGCCTGACTAGTCCCCACCCCATCCCCCCCAAAAATATCCAATTAAAATAAAAACAACCCCAGTCACTACCCACCCACCGCAGGTGTTGCAATATGGCTAGGCCATGAATTGGAGTGATTAGTTGCCAGGTTGCCAGGTGCCAGCACAAGAGTACCCCACTTTAATCTTTTTTTTTAAATTCTAGTTAGATAAACATAAGGTAATATTTTGGCAATTAGGTAGTGAGTATGTGGGTAGTATTGATTGGTTTAATTAATCACATCAGTATTTTATTCATGGAGTGTGTTTTCTTCACAGATGGTCCGGTTAGTGTACAAGACCCCGTAGACATTATGAATTCACAAGATGGTGGGGGGCAGTCAGAAGCCAAGACGGCATCCTCATCCAATCAACACTCTTCCTCAACCAATCAGCATCAAGCCTCATCACATGCATCATCCAATCACAGTCATTCAGCGGCAGCCAATGAAAACCAGGCACAGGCACAGGTATGGTAGCTCTTTATTTGGGCTTATAACTATGCACTTTTTTTTTGATTGTTTGTTTGTTTGTTTGTTTGTTTGTTTGTTTGTTTGTTTGTTTGTTTGATGCTGCACTCGGCAATGTTCCAACTGTGTGATTGATAAAACATGAACAAGCCACCTTGTTGTGGTACAATGACATGGAATGAATAAACTCATCAAGTCTGACTACTTGTTCAATATACCTTTGATATGATCTGTATTTGCAAATATAAACAAGCCAAATGATAGGCTGAATAATAATCAAACCGATCAGGAAAATTCTTTTTTTTTCATTTTTTTGCTTGTTTAGTTTGGAAAGAATATCTAACTATGTCCGTGACCCAAGACAATGTCCCAGCTGCCTTTATCTACAACTCCTGAAAACATTCAGCTTGTGTTAAAGACTTGCTCACTTTCAAATATTAGTGAGTGAGTGAGTGAGTGAGTGAGTGAGTGAGTGAGTATGGTTTTAGCAATATTCCAGCAATATCACGGCGGGAGACACCAGAAATGGGCTTCACACATTGTACCCATGTCGGGAATCGAACCCCGGTCTTCGGCGTGACGAGCGAATGCTTTAACCATTAGGCTACCTGACCGCAACTTCAAATATTAGAAAAACAACTCCTGACAACCTCTTAAATAAGCCTTTTATGCATTTTAGCTTCCCCTGTAAGTCAATAATGTTTTGTTGTGTACAAAGTCTCCTTCTCTTTAGTATGGGGGCGGTCGGGTAGCCTAGTGGTTAAAGCGTTCGCTCGTCACAGCGAAGACCTGGGTTCGATTACTGACATGGGTACAATGTGTGAAGCCCATTTCTGGTGTCCCCCGCCGTGATATTGCTGGAATATTGCTAAAAGCGGCGTAAAACCATACTCACTCACTCACTCACTCTCTTTAGAATGAACCCATCTGACAACTTCTACCAGATTTCTAATGGTTTTGCTCATTTCTCATTTTATCTCTCTATTTAAGAAAGTAGACGTAACAGAAATACATCCAGGAACCAGTCTCCATGCAGAAAACTTTAAAGCCCCAACCGTGCTATAAATAGCATGATATTTTGTGAGACCTGACTGTTTGACAGATGTTTGCAATGATCGGTCAACAAGTTTTTGGTGACTGAAAATCTTGAATAACTAAGGGATGAGACTTTCACATCTAAACCTTGGCAGACAGAGTTGCCCTACACCAGTCAATGTAACAAAAGTCACAAATTATACCGATTCTTTGCCCCCAAAGTACCCTTCGTTCTTGTACTATAGAACATGAAGCGGACCCTTGCTGTGTTGCAGATTAACGGCACTGTGGTGGAAGACAGGAAGAACCTGCGGAACCTGCCGCTCGAGGAGGTGATTGAGAAGACCAAGTCCATCGTGGGGGAGCTGGGGAAGCTGGAGGACTACCACCGCGGGGAGGGCATGCGGCTCCAGAAGATGCTCGGCGACTTCTACTGGGACTACACCTCACAGAGGAAGCAGATCGGGGACGCCATCGCGGAGGCAGGATATGCAGGTCGGTAGAGGTGGGATATGCAGGTGGGTGGAGGTGGGATATGCAGGTGGGTAGAGGTGGGATATGCAGGTGGGTAGAGGTGGGATATGCAGTCAGGTAGAGGTTGGATATGCAGATCAGTAGAGGTGGGATATGCTGGTCGGTAGAGGTGGGCAGAGGTGGGATATGCAGGTTGGTAGAGGTGGGATATACAGGTGGGTAGAGGTTGGATATGCAGGTCGGTAGAGGTGGGTAAAGGTGGGATATGCAGATCAGTAGAGGTGGGATATGCTGGTCGGTAGAGGTGGGTAGAGGTGGGATATGCAGGTTGGTAGAGGTGGGTAGAGGTGGGATATGCAGGTCGGTAGAGGTGGGTAGAGGTGGGATATACAGGTGGGTAGAGGTTTGGTTATGCACATAGGTAGAGGTGGGATATGCAGTCAGGTAGAGGTTGGATATGCAGTCACGTAGAGGTTGGATATGCAGGTGGGTAGAGGTTGGATATGCAGGTAATAGAGGTAAGATATACATGTAGGTAGAGGTTGGATATACAGTCAGGAAGAGGTTGGATATGCTGGTAGGTAGAGGTGGGATATACAGGTGGGTAGAGATGGGATATGCAGTCAGGTAGAGGTTGAATATGCAGTCAGGTAGAGGTTGGATATGCAGGTGGGTAGAGGTTGGATATACAGGTGGGTAGAGGTTGGATATGCAGGTGGGTAGAGGTTGGATATGCAGGTGGGTAGAGGTTGGATATGCAGGTGGGTAGAGGTTGGATATACGGGTAGGTTGAGGTGGGATATGCAGGTGGGTAGAGGTGGGATAAGATGGAGGTATGACTGATGTAGGATAATCCAGGGCCATGTGACAGTAGGATGCGCTCAACGGGCAAGTCCAGATTTGTTGTAGTTAAACTCAAAGTGGTGACAAAGTCATATTCTGATTCACAGGATTTGACTTATCAAAATGGTCATGACAAGTATGTGTTTTACAGAAATCACAATCAAGATGCTGAAAAGCCTGAACACAATTGGTATCTTCAAGAACGATGAAATCTGGTTCCCCGCCTACTACACCTACAACACCACGTGGAACTACTCCGACACCAGCGACTTGCTGGCCAGGGTAAGAGTATCGCCAACAGGGTGCCTTACAGTGACTGTTGGTTAGATTCGATCCCCAGCAACCTATGCTGGTTGTACCAGGGGGATTCCAGGTTAGAAAACATCCCCAGCATCCTATACTGGTTGTACCAGGGGGATTCCGGGTTAGAATACGACCCCAGTAACCTATGCTGGTCGTACCATGGGGATTCCGGGTTAGAATACATCCCCAGCAACCTATGCTGGTTGTACCAGGGGGATTCCGGGTTAGAATACATCTCCAGCAACCTATGCTGGTCATACCAGGGGGATTCTGGGTTAGAATACATCCCCAGCAACCTATGCTGGTCGTAAAGGGGGACTATGCTTGTCGTAAGAGGCGACTAACAGGATCGGGTGGTCAGGCTCACAGACTTGGATGTTGCATGTCATCATAGTCAGAAAGAAATGCGAACATTAGGCACTTATGGTGAAACCATAGAGTTCTAGATAATTTTTGCTGTTCAACATGGGTCCGGGTAATCCTGTGGGTACCGCACTCCATCTCAGTACCCATCCGATCTGATCTGTTATTGTTATGTAATTTATGCTTCAGAATTTAGCGGAGGCAGATGCTGTACGTCTCCTGTCACTCAACTGTAGTCACAAACCCTACATTACAAACATACACAGCAAGGTAAGAGATGAGATATCAATGGGCGAGATTGTGTTTGAGCCTTTGTCCAGAGACCATAGGGCCCCTTCAGATCAAGGGCAAAGCTCTTGTGGGTGGTCTAGATGCAAAGCTCTGGTGGGTAATCTTGGGGCAAAGCTCTGGTGGGTGGTCTAGAGGCAAAGCTCTTGTTGGTAATCTAGGGGCAAAGCTCTGGTGGGTGGTCTAGGGGCAAAGCTCTGGTTGGTGGTCTAGGGGCAAAGCTCTGGTGGGTGTTTTACGGAACAAAGCTCTGGTGGGTGGTCTAGAGGCAAAGCTCTGGTGGGTGGTCTAGGGGCAAAGCTCTGGTGGGAGGTCTAGGGCAAAGCTCTGGTGGGTGTTTTACGGAACAAAGCTCTGGTGGGTGGTCTTAAATCAGACTTCTGACGGATAACCTTGGAATCAAGGTACCCTCTGGCGAAAATGATTTTAACCGCAATCAGCAATATTGTGGAGCTGTCTAGTTGAGTTTTTTTGCAGATTCTCAGAATTTCTGTTTGTTTTCAATGTTAGTGAGTCCCACATTGTATTTTCTTGCAACATACCGGGAAGATTGTTTTTTAAGCTTTCTTCTAATGAATGCCTAAAATTTCCTGCAGTGATTAAAGAGCTTGATTTGTGATAAAAATGTGTGAATATGATGTCAAATGCTTGAGAGCTGCAGGCGTGATGTCAACTTCATAAAATAGATAATAAACTGATTGCACAAGTTTAGCTGAGAAAAAGCCGATGAAATATTTGAAGGAAAGCTTCCTGAGTAAATGATCCAAGAGTCATAGAATAGTGTATCAACATAATGTTTTTTACAACTGGATGGCATTTTTTCATAGGCTTACTGAATTATTTCTATTTCAAGAAATCAACCATTACAAGAAATACAAAAGTGTCTGCATCAATGGCAAAAGTTGTTTCATTCGTTGTTGAAACGGGGCACTTCAGTTGTGGTAACATGAGTTGTCTCCCTTGATTCTCCAACATTAAGACATGTTATTCTTGTTTCTTGTTTAATGTCGCACTCAGCAATATTTCAGCTATATGGCAGCAGTCTGTAAATAATCTAGCCTGGACCAGACAATCCAGTGATTGACATCATGAGCATCGATCCATGCAACTGTATTGGGTTTTTTCCACTAAGGACATCCATCATAGGAGATCCAAATCCTGTGTTATTTATTCATGAAAATACATGTACAGGGAAACCTCATTAATTCAAATCTCAGTAAGGATGGTAGGGTAGTCTAGAGGCTGCAGTGTTCGCTTGTCACACCGAAGACCAAGTTTGATTCCCACAAGGATATTTGTGAACCAGTTCCAGGGACGGGCCAATTGAAGTCCCTTGTATGTGAGTGAGTGAGTGAGTGAGTGAGCGACTGAGTATGGTTTTACGCCGCTTTTAGCAATATTCCAGCAATATCACGGCGGGGGACACCAGAAATGGGCTTCACACATTGTACCCATGTCGGGAATCGAACCCAGGTTTTCAGCATGATGAGTGAACACTTTGACCACTAGGCTAACCAAATGGCCCTCTGCTACTGAAGCCGGTTGACAGGCTATGGGCCAGTGGGCCTGCACTTAAATCGACCCCTGCAATGGCATGGTTATAATCAAAACGGAATGGTTGAAGTAAGTTCCAGGCCTTCTACTGCTAAGCAATGTGATGAAATCCCATTATGGGTCCCAAACAGAGCACAGCTCACCAGATCAGGAAAGTGACAGTCGGAATGTCTTTTCTAATTATGCAACCTCAAAAAGGTTAACATGGGATATTCCGAATGACAGTGTCAACTGCTTGTTCATTTCATTGGACAGTCAAAGTTTGTGAAAGGTTGTTCTGATCTGGGTGCCGTTGTACAAAACAACTGTCAAAGCACTACGACTGTGGTAAGTGTATGTTAAGGTATGGGAGTTATGACCATCTTAGTGCTATGACTGTCGTAAGTCTATGTTAATGTATGGGAGTCATGACCACCTTAGCGCTACCACTGTCGTAAGTGTATGTTAAGGTATGGCAGTCATGATCATCTTAGCGCTACGACTGTCGTAAGTGTATGGTAAGGTATGGGAGTTATGACCACCTTAGCGCTACGACTGTCGTAAGTGTATGTTAAGGTATGGGAATTATGACCACCTTAGCGCTACGACTGTCGTAAATGTATGTTTAGGTATGGCAGTCATGACCACCTTAGCGCTAAGACTGTCGTAAATGTATGTTAAGGTACGGGAGTTATGACCATCTTAGTGCTATGACTGTCGTAAGTCTATGTTAAGGTATGGGAGTCATGACCACCTTAGCGCTACCACTGTCGTAAGTGTATGTTAAGGTATGGCAGTCATGATCATCTTAGCGCTATGACTGTCATAAGTGTATGGTAAGGTATGGGAGTTATGACCACCTTAGCGCTACCACTGTCGTAAGTGTATGTTACGGTATGGCAGTCATGTTCATCTTAGCGCTACAACTGTCGTAAGTGTATGTTAAGGTATGGGAGTTATGACCACCTTAGCGCTACGACTGTCATAGGTCTATGTTAAGGTAAGGGAGTCATGACCACCTTAGCGCTACGACTGTTGTAAGTGTATGTTAAGGTATAGGAGTTATGACCACCTTAGCGCTACGACTGTCGTAAATGTATGTTAAGATATCTGAGTTATGATCATCTCAGTGCTAAGATCACTTCAGAACACCATATTGTGTTTCAGAATGTATTTTATGTGATGAAGGCGTCCATGAGCATCCTCCACAACATAGCCCGGAACCCCAACGTGAAGGGCTTTTTTAAAGAAAACAAAACAGCTGAGGTGGGTGCAAGCGATAATACTTCGTTTTATACTTCGAGAGTAAAAGTTGGGGGAAAATTGCATCTTTTCATATTTCATGTTATTAATTATCACAGTAGCACAAACATTAGGTATATTTACTGATTTGTATATTTTATATTTTACACCGTTTGTATTTTCGTTAAAAGTTTTATTTCATGAGACTCTTTAGAAAATTATTGTAAAATCCACCATGACCATGTCTGGGTAATGTTGCCCGGCATCTTGGCACGCTGATCAACAAAATCAGCAACTCCAAACAAGTGATCTGGCTTATTGCGTCAGAAGCGTTCGCTCGTCACACTGAAGACCCAGGTTCAATTCCCGACATGGGTACAATGTGTGAAGCCCATTTCTTGTGTCCCCCGCCCTGATATTGCTGGCATATTGCTAAAAGCGGCGTAAAAACCTCATTCACTCACTCAGTCACTCACTCACTCACTCACTCCATTTACTACCCAGGTACCAACAACCCTGTTACCCGACCCTACCTGGGTACACGCTGTAGAGACCGGTACACAATGTCCGATTGGAAATAGTTTGACTGTAGCCCTGGACAAAATGTATTTAGATACACTTATAAATTGATCTGGTCATGCGTACACTGAAGTTGACTGAAGTTTTATCTTTATTCAAACATTTAAAGTCAGAAGGAATGTGTGCAGATTCAGAAAGAAATGCAAACACTAGTCCCTTATAGTGTAACCATGGAGTTCCAGATAATTTTTGTCATTAAACAATATATCAAGTGACTAACCACGGGTCCAGGTAGTCCTGTGGGTACCCGGGTCCAACTCAGTACCCACCCGACCCAAGTAACTGAGTTACCCGTCCCAGCCCTACCTGAATAACTGTTCAAAGTGGTGTTAAACCCAACTCACTCACTCACTCACTCACTATTGACACAGAATAGGACGATGTTGCAATTTGAGTAGCCAGATAGCATTTCCTTTGTCACGTGAAAGCTAACAGCATCACAGGAGATCTTGTGGAATGGACTATTGCAATGGTGTTCCGATACCTGTCTTTTTAAGCACAATGTTCATGTTTGATTGCAGGTCATCATGCCATTTATCAACATGAACGACGACATGCTGCGAGTGTTGGCGATGTTGACCTTGGCCTACATCGTTGAGGAAGAAGACAACAGCAAACTTATCGACGAAACAGGTCAGACCCTGATCTTTTCACAGAAAAGTAGGTCAAATTACGGTAAATGCGTGTCGTCCCCGATGTCGTCCTCTGTGTGAACGCCTTTCTTAGGAGCCACTCTAGGACGTTGTTAGGTCATCGTAGGAGCCACACTAGGAGGTAACTAGGTCATCATAGGAGCCACACTGGGAGGTAACTAGGTCATCTAGGAGGTAACTAGGTCATCTAGGAGGTAACTAGGTCATGATAGGAGGTAAGTAGGTCATTGTAAGAGCCACAATGGGAGGTAACCTAGTCATCTAGGAGGTAAATAGGTCATCTAGGAGGTAACTAGGTCATGATAGGAGGTAATTAGGTCATCGTAAGAGCCACACTGGGAGCTTACTAGGTCATCTAGGAGGTAAATAGGTCATCGTAGGAGCGACACTAGGAGGTAATTAGGCCATCATAGGAACCACTGGGAGGTAACTAGGTCATCATAGGAACCACTGGGAGGTAACTAGGTCATCATAGGAGGTAACTAGGTCATCATAGGAGCCACACTAGGAGGTAGTTAGGTTGTCTAGGAGGTAATGAGGTCATCGTAGGAGCCACACTGGGAGGTAACTAGGTCATCAAAGAGGTAACTAGCTCATCATAGGAGCCACACTGGGAGGTAACTAGGTCATCAAAGAGGTAACTAGCTCATCATAGGAGCCACACTGGGAGGTAACTAGGTCATCGTTATTGCCTCACTAGGATTTTGCAAACACAAACTGCCACAGAATATAAATATACCATCAGTAGGAGATGCCATAGCATTCAGGAGTGTCTGGACATATATAAGATATCCTTGGCAATATTATGATGCGGATTCATTGTTGTACAATGATTGTCTGAATGCTTCGCTCACTCGTATGAAGAATTTAGAAGCCTCGAACATGAGTGGCTGATTTGAAAGTTTACATGACCTCCTGTGAAGGTGTCCTCAAGTACTGACACAGAGAAGTATCGATTCAGAGAAAAAACTCTGATTTTACTGAGATTGTGTTTGGAACAGAATATTTTTTCAGTCCCTCCTCCTTGACATACAATTCCTTTTCTCCGAAGCCAACAATTTTTTTTCGTTCACGACACATTTTTTTCAGGGCATCCAGCATGTTTAGCAAACAATTAACTTTTGGGGTAAACCTGAAGAAAATTATTTTTTCAATATTTTTCCGAAACAATTATTTTTATCTAAATATTGCCGTCCAACCCACCACCCCTGCAAACTGAACACCAAATGATCAGTCATGTAGCAGCCTAAATCTTCTTCGAAACATTTTGGGGTGTCTGGGAATTCTTGGAATCCTCTTGGGACAAGTAAGAACATGCTCTCTGCCTTGAGCTGGATCTGATCGTTGACGTATCCTGTGGGAATAGAGAAGCAGAGGGTGGTGCAGAGTTGTGTCCCTTAGATGTGCCAGGATCCGCTGATTGTGAGTTTGAATCATAGATTCACCCTGATTATGATCCTTAAATTGTCAGCACGATACCCATGCACTTTTGTGTGTCTTCACCCGTTGCCATTTGGGGTTTTCCTCCAACATCAAACTGACACGTCATGATGAAACTGTTTGAAACTGCTTCAAACTCAACTCACACACTCTTAGGAATATACTAAGGACTTGCCTGGTCACAAGAAAGTGTCGTTTTAGGAAATATATCAAGGTTATGTCCTCTGCTTGAATAAAGAATCAGGTTCTAAGGTCTTCACCAGACAAGGGGGGCCAAGGGTGGCCCAGTCGTCTAAGGCGCCACGATGCTGTGCAGAGTTGCGTCCTTTGGGTACGCCAGAAACCTATGATTGTGGGTTCAAATCCCGGTTCGCCCCGATTATGTTTCTAGGTTTGTCAGCACCATACCCGTGCTCATGGGTTTCACCGAAGTGGTAAACGTCTGAGACCTGCATCACTTCGGGCTAACCTCCCACATTAAGCTGACACGCCGCGATATAACTGGAATACTGTTAAAAGCTGCGTTAAACCCAACTCACTCACTCACTCACTTCACCAGACTAGTGTATTCCAGATAACTGATTATCTGCCTGTCTGGGTCATATTCAAAGTAGAACCAGAATATTTAATCCCACAGAAAATAATAGGCCTGTTTGTTTGGCAGCAACTATTTTCTGGATTATCTTCCCTTTGTTTGACATTTAGACGTAACATTATGAAATGCATTCAGTCCGTTTCTGTCACAATCCATGAAGCACTTCCTGGATTACCTCCCCTGATATTTAATTGCAAATACCCCAACAAAGATAAGTGGAAAGCGTCGTTCTAAGGAAGGTTGCACAGGGAGAACCCCGGGTGGAACCTGTTTACTGGAGGGTACCTCGCTAATACAAGAAGGCGGCCATGTTTTCTGTACAGTGCCAAGATATACAAAAACATTCCTGCTTTTGAGATTTAGGTTGATTCAACCTTAGACGTTTGTGAAAGCTATAGGCTTTCAGGATCATGATCAATTCGATATGTGTTTTATTGATAATACCAATCTTTACTGACAGAAGTTATGTTTTGCCACACGTTCATGCTTACGGTTTATCCTTCACCTGTTTCCATTGCCCAGTTTTTTCAAAATCATCAAGAAACGTACCTCATTACTACCTTTGTCATGATTTGTGATTTTCCCCTCTTGTAGGGTAAATTTTTTTTATTCTGTTAAAACTTTGTGATCACATGATATAATTTCCAAAAAATGTGTTCTACTATTCCTGGGTGCTGTGCTGGAAATGAATTTACCTTCTTGGGTTAATGAGGTGCCAACCTTCATGTGCACAGGATCCCCGGGAAGATCCGTGTTAGAATTGGTCTTCAGCAATCCATGCTTGTCTCCCCCCGGGAAGATCCAAGTTAGAATTGGTCTTCAGCGACCCGTGCTTGTCTACCCCGGGGAAGATCCATGTTAGAATTGGTCTTCAGCAATCCATGCTTGTCTCCCCCGTGAAGATCTGTGCTCGAACTGGTCTTCAGCAATCTATGCTTGTCTCCCCCCGGGAAGATCCGTGTTAGAATTGGTCTTCAGCGACCCGTGCTTGTCTCCCCCCGTGAAGATCCGTGTTAGAATTGGTCTTCAGCGACCCGTGCTTGTCTCCCCCCGGGAAGATCCGTGTTAGAAATGGTCTTCAGCAACCCATGCTTGTCTCCGCCAGGAAGATCCATGTTAGAAATGGTCTTCAGCAATCCATGCTTGTCTCCCCCCAGGAAGATCTGTGTTAGAAATGGTCTTCAGCAATCCATGCTTGTCTCCCCCCGGGAAGATCCGTGTTAGAAATGGTCTTCAGCAACTCGTGCTTGTCTCCCCCCGGGAAAATCCGTGTTAGAAATGGTCTTCAGCAACCCATGCTTGTCTCCGCCAGGAAGATCCATGTTAGAAATGGTCTTCAGCAATCCATGCTTGTCTCCCCCCGGGAAGATCTGTGTTAGAAATGGTCTTCAGCAATCCATGCTTGTCTCCCCCCGGGAAGATCCGTGTTAGAAATGGTCTTCAGCAACTCGTGCTTGTCTCCCCCCGGGAAGATCCGTGTTAGAAATGGTCTTCAGCAATCTATGCTTGTCTCCCCCGGGAAGATCCGTGTTAGAAATGGTCTTCAGCAACCCATGCTTGTCTCCGCCAGGAAGATCCATGTTTGAACTGGTCTTCAGCAATCCATGCTTGTCTCCGCCAGAAAGATCCGTGTTAGAAATGGTCTACAGCAACCCATGCTTGTCTCCGCCAGGAAGATCCATGTTCGAACTGGTCTTCAGCAACCCATGCTTGTCTCCGCCAGGAAGATCCGTGTTAGAAATGGTCTACAGCAACCCATGCTTGTCTCCTCCAGGAAGATCCGTGTTAGAAATGGTCTTCAGCAACCCATGCTTGTCTCCGCCAGGAAGATCCGTTTTAGAATTGGTCTTCAGCAACTCATGCCTGTCTCCGCCAGGAAGATCCATTTTAGAATTGGTCTTCAGCAACCCATGCTTGTCTCCGCCAGGAAGATCCATGTTTGTCTCCGCCAGGAAGATCCGTGTTAGAAATGGTCTTCAGCAACTCATGCTTGTCTCCGCCAGGAAGATCCATTTTAGAATTGGTCTTCAGCAACCCATGCTTGTCTCCGCCAGGAAGATCCATGTTTGTCTCCCCCCGGGAAGATCCGTGTTAGAACTGGTCTTCAGCAACCCATGCTTGTCTCCGCCAGGAAGATCCGTGTAAGAATTGGTCTTCAGCAACCCATGCCTGTCATAAGAGCCTGGGTGGTCAGACTTGCTGACTTTGTTGATGTCATTTTGCACAGATAGATGGTCATGATGTTACTCACTGGATTGTCTGGTCCAGACTCAATTATTTATAGGCCGCCATCATATAGCGAGAATATTGCTGAGTGTGGCGTTAAGCAACAAACAAACAAACAAACAAGTAAAAAAACAAAACAAATACTAGTAAACATCCTTACAATGATCCTTTCTGCAAAGTCCACAGTTTTCATCATTCATCAGACATGGATTACCTCCCCTACATAACTCTTGCATGCCGGTGACGGGAACCTCTGTGTGTTTTGCATGAAGCGTTTTCTAATGCACACTCTAGCGTACATCTACAGAATGCTCACCCCCATATAACCAACTGCTTACTATGTGTGCTCATATATACCCCGGGAATAACAACGTTTATACACTGGCAGGGAGGCTTTGTTCATGTTCACGACCGCTGGACATGAGATTGATTCCATTAAAACCTAGCGATTACGTGTTTAGTTTTGGCGTCTCAGAATGTTTCCCCTTTTTTAAACCCATTTCATCCATATTAAATTTTGCGAAAAGAATTTTTACAATTGTTTTAATTATTCATTATGTCAGTTTTGAAATATAGAGATCAATATTGTCATATGTAGCCAAAAATGGGTGTCTGATATATCAACATCTGTTTAAGAAAATAATTTGAAAAATTGGCTTTAAAAATGTATGAAACAAAAAATAGGATATAATTTAATCAGTCACAAAATGTAAAATAATAAATAAATAATTAATTTTAAAGAAAGACTCATCTAAATGTCTTGTTCAATGATGATGTGTATTGCCTCCAGGTACAATAAAGAATGTAGTCATGTGGATTGGCAAGGCATTGGACAACCCGAAGAGGCGGTTCAAGGGATTTACCCCCCAAGAGTTGACACAAGGCTTGGACAAGCTTGCAGTCAATGATGGCAACAAGTTGAAGGTGGGTAGTCACACAGGACGTCTACTGGGTGGGTGAGGGTTGAGAACATCTTCCCAGATCATAGAGGAAGGCAGCATCCCTCTGTACAACCCTCTGTTATATCTCCCCAGATCATAGAGGAAGACAGCATCCCTCTGTACAACCCTGTGTTATATCTCCCCAGATCATAGAGGAAGGCAGCACCCCTCTGTACAACCCTGTGTTATATCTCCCCATATCTCCCCAGATCATAGAGGAAGGCAGCACCCCTTTGTACAACCCTGTGTTATATCTCCACAGATCATAGAGGAAGGCAGCATCCCTCTGTACAACCCTGTGTTATATCTCCCCATATCTCCCCATATCATAGAGGAAGGCAGCATCCCTCTGTACAACCCTGTGTTATATCTCCCCAGATCATAGGGGAAGGCAGCACCCCTCTGTACAACCCTGTGTTATATCTCCCCAGATCATAGAGGAAGGCAGCATCCCTCTGTACAACCCTGTGTTATATCTCCCCATATCTCCCCATATCATAGAGGAAGGCAGCATCCCTCTGTACAACCCTGTGTTATATCTCCCCATATCTCCCCAGATCATAGGGGAAGGCAGCATCCCTCTGTACACCCCTGTACACCCCTGTGTTATATCTCCCCATATCTCCCCAGATCATAGAGGAAGGCAGCACCCCTTTGTACAACCCTGTGTTATATCTCCCCAGATCATAGAGGAAGGCAGCATCCCTCTGTACAACCCTGTGTTATATCTCCCCAGATCATAGAGGAAGGCAGCATCCCTCTGTACAACCCTGTACACCCCTGTGTTATATCTCCCCATATCTCCCCAGATCATAGAGGAAGGCAGCATCCCTCTGTACAACCCTGTGTTATATCTCCCCAGATCATAGAGGAAGGCAGCACCCCTTTGTACAACCCTGTGTTATATCTCCCCAGATCATAGAGGAAGGCAGCACCCCTCTGTACAACCCTGTGTTATATCTCCCCAGATCATAGAGGAAGACAGCATCCCTCTGTACAACCCTGTGTTATATCTCCCCAGATCATAGGGGAAGGCAGCACCCCTCTGTACAACCCTGTGTTATATCTCCCCATATCTCTCCAGATCATAGAGGAAGGCAGCATCCCTCTGTACAACCCTGTGTTATATCTCCCCAGATCATAGAGGAAGGCAGCATCCCTCTGTACAACCCTGTGTAATATCTCCCCATATCTCCCCAGATCATAGAGGAAGGCAGCATCCCTCTGTACACCCCTGTGTTATATCTCTCCATATCTCCCCAGATCATAGAGGAAGGCAGCATCCCTCTGTACACCCCTGTACACCCCTGTGTTATATCTCCCCATATCTCCCCAGATCATAGAGGAAGGCAGCATCCCTCTGTACAACCCTGTACACCCCTGTGTTATATCTCCCCATATCTCCCCAGATCATAGAGGAAGGCAGCATCCCTCTGTACAACCCTGTGTTATATCTCCCCAGATCATAGAGGAAGGCAGCACCCCTTTGTACAACCCTGTGTTATATCTCCCCAGATCATAGAGGAAGGCAGCATCCCTCTGTACAACCCTGTGTTATATCTCCCCAGATCATAGGGGAAGGCAGCACCCCTCTGTACAACCCTGTGTTATATCTCTCCAGATCATAGAGGAAGGCAGCATCCCTCTGTACAACCCTGTGTTATATCTCCCCAGATCATAGGGGAAGGCAGCACCCCTCTGTACAACCCTGTGTTATATCTCCCCAGATCATAGAGGAAGGCAGCATCCCTCTGTACAACCCTGTGTTATATCTCTCCAGATTATAGAGGAAGGCAGCACCCCTTTGTACAACCCTGTGTTATATCTCCCCAGATCATAGAGGAAGGCAGCATCCCTCTGTACAACCCTGTGTTATATCTCCCCAGATCATAGGGGAAGGCAGCACCCCTCTGTACAACCCTGTGTTATATCTCTCCAGATCATAGAGGAAGGCAGCATCCCTCTGTACAACCCTGTGTTATATCTCCCCAGATCATAGAGGAAGGCAGCATCCCTCTGTACAACCCTGTGTTATATCTCCCCAGATCATAGAGGAAGGCAGCACCCCTTTGTACAACCCTGTGTTATATCTCTCCAGATCATAGAGGAAGGCAGCATCCCTCTGTACAACCCTGTGTTATATCTCTCCAGATCATAGAGGAAGGCAGCACCCCTCTGTACAACCCTGTGTTATATCTCTCCAGATCATAGAGGAAGGCAGCATCCCTCAGTACAACCCTGTGGTATATCTCTCCAGATCATAGGGGAAGGCAGCACCCCTCTGTACAACCCTGTGTTATATCTCCCCAGATCATAGAGGAAGGCAGCATCCCTCTGTACAACCCTGTGTTATATCTCCCCATATCTCCCCAGATCATAGAGGAAGGCAGCATCCCTCTGTACACCCCTGTGTTATATCTCCCCATATCTCCCCAGATCATAGAGGAAGGCAGCATCCCTCTGTACACCCCTGTGTTATATCTCCCCATATCTCCCCAGATCATAGAGGAAGGCAGCATCCCTCTGTACAACCCTGTGTTATATCTCCCCAGATCATAGAGGAAGGCAGCACCCCTTTGTACAACCCTGTGTTATATCTCCCCAGATCATAGGGGAAGGCAGCATCCCTCTGTACAACCCTGTGTTATATCTCCCCAGATCATAGGGGAAGGCAGCACCCCTCTGTACAACCCTGTGTTATATCTCTCCAGATCATAGAGGAAGGCAGCATCCCTCTGTACAACCCTGTGTTATATCTCCCCATATCTCCCCAGATCATAGAGGAAGGCAGCATACCTCTGTACAACCCTGTGTTATATCTCCCCAGATCATAGAGGAAGGCAGCATCCCTCTGTACACCCCTGTGTTATATCTCCCCATATCTCCCCAGATCATAGAGGAAGGCAGCATCCCTCTGTACACCCCTGTGTTATATCTCCCCATATCTCCCCAGATCATAGAGGAAGGCAGCACCCCTTTGTACAACCCTGTGTTATATCTCCCCAGATCATAGAGGAAGGCAGCATCCCTCTGTACAACCCTGTGTTATATCTCCCCAGATCATAGGGGAAGGCAGCACCCCTCTGTACAACCCTGTGTTATATCTCTCCAGATCATAGAGGAAGGCAGCATCCCTCTGTACAACCCTGTGTTATATCTCCCCAGATCATAGAGGAAGGCAGCATCCCTCTGTACAACCCTGTGTTATATCTCCCCATATCTCCCCAGATCATAGAGGAAGGCAGCATCCCTCTGTACACCCCTGTGTTATATCTCCCCATATCTCCCCAGATCATAGAGGAAGGCAGCATCCCTCTGTACACCCCTGTGTTATATCTCCCCATATCTCCCCAGATCATAGAGGAAGGCAGCATCCCTCTGTACACCCCTGTGTTATATCTCCCCAGATCATAGAGGAAGGCAGCATCCCTCTGTACAACCCTGTGTTATATCTCCCCATATCTCCCCAGATCATAGAGGAAGGCAGCATCCCTCTGTACACCCCTGTGTTATATCTCCCCATATCTCCCCAGATCATAGAGGAAGGCAGCATCCCTCTGTACAACCCTGTGTTATATCTCCCCAGATCATAGAGGGAGGCAGCATCCCTCTGTACAACCCTGTGTTATATCTCCCCAGATCATAGGGGAAGGCAGCACCCCTCTGTACAACCCTGTGTTATATCTCCCCAGATCATAGAGGAAGGCAGCATCCCTCTGTACAACCCTGTGTTATATCTCCCCATATCTCCCCAGATCATAGAGGAAGGCAGCACCCCTTTGTACAACCCTGTGTTATATCTCCCCAGATCATAGAGGAAGGCAGCATCCCTCTGTTTATGAAGATGCTTCTGAGTGATAATGACAAGGAACAGAGCACAACGGCGCGATGTGTCTGGACGCTGGCGTTCGACAAGGATGTGAGGAAGGAGCTGTTCGAGACGGAGAATATGATGAGCACCCTGGAGAAGCTGCTGGAAAATCAGCACAAGGACGTTAAGAAGAACGCTCAAGGTGCATTGTGGGTACTCACGGGCAAAGGAGATGCACCCACAGACAGTGAGTACACCAGGCGTTTTTCATAACTTAAGTTGAATGCATGACCATGTGTAGTGGAACTTGTCAACTTTTACTGTGTTATTATGTTATGTAAGCAGGGTTAAAAAAGTGCCCTCTTCGTCAATGTTCTAAGCACCCATGGGGGATATGATGGCAGATACAGTGTATGGATTTTGGTACCGGTAGTCAATATGTGGAAATGCAGGGGGCAATGGAAGAAAGAGAAAATTGGAATTTGTTTTGTAATTAATCTTTTAGTAAGTTTATTTTCTGTTTTGTAGGCCATCGGCCCCTGTATACAGTTGATACAACAATGTCATAAATATGGCAATTAAGCGGTAGACGACACAATATACTTACTATCAAGTGCATATTTACATTTCAGAGTTTCTTTTACAAACTTAGTACATCATTAGAAGTCAGTAATTTATGAAATTTACAAATGTTTGATGAAATATGCCACTTCGGTATGTACTTATTTATCAACAATTGCCTCACAATGAAATATGAAATGGAGTTCATCTTCAATGCTATTAGAATTACTCATCCTACAAATTCGTTTCACAGTTATAGCTTCTTTACATCTGAAATTACAACACAACGGCATTTCATACAATCTCAACAAACATACATATCTTCTTTATTCCCTAACATTGATGTTTGTAACATGGAATTCAACAGTCAGCAATGACTTAATATTCTTATAATGTGCAAGTTGTTTTGAATCATTGATAATACTGAAAATGTTTTGTTTTCCACAATCTTCTAATCTCTGTCTGAACATCGACAGAAGATATGAAATATCTCCAATACCATGGCTAACCCATGCATATCCGAAACCATGTTTCTTACAACAACAATCTTACACAGGATGCCCATGTCTACCTTCCTGCTGAATCTAACGTCTAACTGAATCTACTGTAGGTAACATTGTCTTGGGTAACGATCACCTGACATTTGTAAATGGATTTGTAAAATTTAAAAAAAGCTGTTTTGAAGTTTGTAGGTTCACGTTTAGACAATGTTCTGAGACAATTTCTGAGAAACCTGTCGTTTGTTGTGGATCGATGGGTAGGGAAGGTCATGGAAATGTTTGAAAGGAAAATTTGGGAGAGAATCATGTGACATTATCTATGTTTTAGTATTGATAAGATCAATGGTATTTTCAGGATAAAAACACTTCTTCATTCTTTGCAAGGACCGTGAAATGTCAAATACATTTAAGGCTGCTACATCTAGTCCCACATGGAGGATCTCAGCCCCTGCCACAATAATACAGTGCCAATCCTCACGTTGTCTGTGGAAGTGGACTGTGGAGGACATATCATTGAGTGATTGATGGTGTTTGTTTCAGAAACAAAAGGACCCCCACGGGGGAAGAACCACATCTTCATCAGTTACTCCTGGAACGAGCAGGAGAAGGTCCTGGAGATTCGGGACAAACTCAGGGTGAGTGTCAGTATACTGTCAGTATACTGTGTCTGAGTGGGGTATTCATGTTAAACTACGGCATGGAATCTCAGTGGACTAGAAGTATAAATCGGGGTCAGTCCCGACTAGTACAAGTAGCCCCTAAATCTTGAAAAATTATTTCGATCTGCGTAGTTATCCTATGTTTACATTGGTTGTGCGGCTCCACATGCTATCATCGAAGCCCTACGGAGAGCCAGCGATACGGTCACTTTGATGTGTAAATATGTATTGTCATGCAACTCACTGTCGTAGTTGGAGTAGCGTATTTATATATTTATGCAAAACAATATGTAAAGCACCCCCAAATACTTGCATTAGTCCATTCTATTCTAATTTCTGAAAAAGTGTGTTTGTTTACAAACAAGAGAATAGTCTGGTCACATGATATGCAAATTAGCCTGTGGCAGTGGTGTTGTGCTAAGTCACCAACTGCGCTGGAGTGTACTCATACCCATCACTAACAAGCAGTGCTAATTTTGTTTGACTGGATTAAGGTAAGGTTAGCTTGAGGTAAGGATATGTATCATTCCACTGGGGATGGGGTGTGGGGAGTCGCATTGATACTAAGTCACATTTTTGGCTCGGGGTCAGCAGTCGTATTAATTAGGAGACGCATTAATTTCAAGATTTACAGTATCAATGCCTTATGAAGATTTAGTGTCACTTGGTTAAACTACAACTTTTATGCGGATGTTCTTCTGTCACTGAGTAGAGGTCATGTCACTTTTTGTATTTTCAGGCAGAGGGATATATTGTGTGGGTGGATGTGGATGAGATGGGGGGATCCACGCTGCAGGCGATGGCAGAGGCTGTTGAGAACGCTGCCGTTGTCCTGGTGTGCATGTCAGAAAAATACAAGCAGAGTCCCAACTGTAGGACAGGTGAGACTATATGTAGTTGTTGAGATAGCAGTATATCCGATGACACACAAGCAGTGTCCCAACTGTAGGACAGGTGAGACTATATGTAGTTGTTAAGATAGTAGTATTTCGGATGACACACAAGCAGTGTCCCAACTGTAGGACAGGTGAGACTATATGTAGTTGTTAAGATAGTAGCATATCTGATGACACACAAGCAGTGTCTCAACTGTAGGACAGGTGTGACTATATGTAGTTGTTAAGATAGTAGTATATCCGATAACACACAAGCAGTGTCCCAACTGTAGGACAGGTGAGACTATATGTAGTTGTTAAGATAGTAGTATATCTGATGACACACAAGCAGAGTCCCAACTGTAAGACAGGTGAGACTATATGTAGTTGTTAAGATAGTAGCATATCTGATGACACACAAGCAGTGTCCCAACTGTAGGACAGGTGAGACTATATGTAGTTGTTAAGATAGTAGTATATCTGATGACATGAAAGCAGTGTCTCAACTGTAGGACAGGTGAGACTATATGTAGTTGTGAAGATAGTAGCATATCTGATGACACACAAGCAGTGTCCCAACTGTAGGACAGGTGAGACTAGTTGTAGTTGTTAAGATAGTAGCATATCTGATGACACACAAGCAGTGTCCCAACTGTAGGACAGGTGAGACTATATGCAGTTGTTAAGATAGTAGCATATCTGATGACACACAAGCAGTGTCCCAACTGTAGGACAGGTGAGACTATATGAAGTTGTGAAGATAGTAGCATATCTGATGACATGAAAGCAGTGTCTCAACTGTAGGACAGGTGAGACTATATGTAGTTGTGAAGATAGTAGCATATCTGATGACACACAAGCAGTGTCCCAACTGTAGGACAGGTGAGACTATATGCAGTTGTTAAGATAGTAGCATATCTGATGACATGAAAGCAGTGTCTCAACTGTAGGACAGGTGAGACTATATGTAGTTGTGAAGATAGTAGTATATCTGATGACATAAAAGCAGAGTCCCAACTGTAGGACAGGTGAGACTATATGTAGTTGTTAAGATAGCAGTATTTCCCGATGACATGATAAGCGCCCAGGGCATTCTCAATATTAGAAATAAGGGGCTCTTTTTAGAATATAATTTTGGTGAAAAGAGTTGAAAGATTGTAAATTTCGTGGTTTATGCTGACAGCCTGAAATTATACTTAAGAAAAATCTGTGTGTATTATACCTGACAGATATATTTTTTCCAGAATTTTATTGCCCATAATTAAGGGTGTATATATCACATGAGTGTGTATTATACATGACTAAATAAGTCTTGTGTACATTGATCAATCAAAAGTGTGCTAATTAGGATCATTCACTAGCCAATATATTAGTAAATATCACCATGGGCGCTTATTAGAGCAGGGTGCTTATTACGTCAAATACAGTTTATGATATCACCATTCTTGAGAGAGATGCTATCAGTTTTTCATCAATCGGCAGAGATAGTGGGTTCATTTCACTGATAGATCGACTATCTCACTGCCATTTATATAATAAAATACCATATAGACCACTTCATAGAAGGGGGCACGGGTGGCCCAGCTGTCTAAGGCGCTGCGATTCGCTGTGCCTTGGGCATGCCAGAAACCTATGATTGTGGGTTCAAATCCCGGTTCGCCCCGATTATGTTTCTAGTTTTGTCAGCACCATACCCCTGCTCGTGGGTTTCACCTAAGTGGTAAACGTCTGAGACCTGCATAACTTCGGGCTTTCCTCCCACATTAAGCTGACACGCCGTGATATAACTGGAATACTGTTAAAAGCGGCGTTAAACCCAACTCACTCACTCACTCACTCACTCACTTCATAAGAATGAATCAATGCATCTGTCCTTCTCCCCACAGAGGCGGAGTACACGTTTCAGTTACGGAAAGACTACATCCCACTGATGATGCAGAAGAAGTACCGGCCGGATGGCTGGCTTGGGATGATCCTCGGTGCCAAGTTGTTCTTTGACTTTAGCGGGAAATACCCCTTTGAGAAATCCATGTCTGGTATGCTGAAGGAGCTGCGAGGACGTGGTAAAAGGTCAAATGTGCTTCAATCACAATCTACAGGTAAGTGAAAAAATAATAGCGACAAAACCCTTTCTATATTCATAAGAAATCTCTGCTAAAAGCAGAGTCGCTTGTACAATTCCGACCATATATTGAGCATGTGGTTATGAAAACTATCAAATAGTAATTATATCAGGTGTTGGCGAGAAAGGTGAGCATATCCTGCCTCTCCGGTGACACCCATCACAAACACATGCAAAGGCAAGTCAAATGTTCACCTGGAAAAACACGGGAACATATGGTACATGTCAAAATAGAGAACTGCATCAGACAACATTTTTGTCACTGAAGAAAAATTTTGTTCACTTTTCTATGACGAACTGGTATCTTCATAGAGAATCCCACAAGAGTCAATAAAAGTTTCACACTCTCAGGCTTCTATCAATGTGTGTTCATATCGTTGATATCAAAATGTTTGTGAAATTGATGAATTTTTTATCGAACATCATTCTTCCAAGAGTAATAGCCAGTGTCTTGAGTTGAAAAAAAGTACAGGTAACCAGCTTCAGTGAAAGAGAGAATTGTGATGTCATTTGATTACATCGTCATGGTGACAGATGATGTCACAATGGTCTTCAAAGCAATGTCTCTGAGGAGATATCAATTTCATTGTCTCCAGTAGATTTCACTGATCTCTCCAAGCAATGGATGATAAATGATGATGGACCTGTTGCTGTAACAACATCAATTATCATGAACTTCAAATACAAATAAGTGTCTAACTCATCACTGACCTGAACAACTTTATGCTAAGTAGAAACTATTGAGCTACTCCAAATTGTTTTTGTTTTTATCTATCCAATCTAATCAAACTATCTGTAAATAAAAGTGCCAAGACCCTTTCCATATTCATGAGAAATTGATTGTACGATTCCGACTATGTCATGAACATGTGTTAATAAATCACTATCAAATATTAATTACACCAGGTGTTCACGAAATGGTGAGCATATCCTGCCCCTCCAGTGGCACTCATCACAAACACATGCAAAGGCAAGTCAATTGTTCCAGTCAATTGTTCAACCATTAAATGAGAAAGGTTAAGCTGTTTATTACCTATGTATAAGTGAATTGTGCATTACAGAAACAAGATCATATTTGACTTGTAGATCAAGTAGATGCACTAGAGAGTACGACCGAGAACCGGCTAGTGTACGCCGGCAACCCTCACCGCAACACCCACCCAGGCACCGAGCTGGCCATACCTCAGGGACATCAGCCTCTCACACACAACATGTCACGCGACGACGTGCAACGCTGGCTGGTCACGCACCAGCTAGATGGGTATGTGAGATGGGGGACCAGTAGTCTTCCGTTCTCTGACGTGAGAGCGTTATAGTTTTATATTATGGTTGGTAGGTTGTTGTTTAACGCCGCACTCAGCAATATTCCAGCTATATGACAGCAGTCTGTAAATAATCAAGTCTGGACCAGACAATCCAGTGACTGACATCATGAGCATCGATCTACACAATTGGGATATGATGACATGTATCAACCAAGTCAGCGAGCCTGACCACCCGATCCCGTTATTTTATGTTATGACACAGCTTGCTTGATGACAGTGTTGGGAAAGTCAGAGAGGGAGGGAGAAGTGCTAATTTTCAAACTCTATGTTGTCGGCAATATTTGAAATACATCTGAAAGTGGATTTCTATCTTGTTTTCTTTAAACATGTCTTACCACTTATACTTTGCATATTTTACTATTTATTTCCTATTTAATTCCCTATCAATACTTCATATACTGATATCACAAATTCAGTTTTGAGATATCAATAAATCCAATGTATTTTAGATATCACTTAATGGAATTATTGATATAAAAAACTTAATTATAGATATCTCAAATAAGATTTTGGATAACACTAAATTAATTTAGATATCACAAATTTTTAATGTGTTATTGACATAAAAAAATTGAAATTGTGATACCAATAATACACTTCTAGGTTCATGAAAAAATTGTTTCTCTCTTAAAGTCTTACAGGGGTAAATAATTAAGTTACTTGTCAACAATATTGTCTTGCATTGAAACTAAAACAGAACGTATAATTTTGTCCATATGCCTACTACAGTGATGGAGAAAGAACTTTTTTCTAATATTAGCCCATGAGATGGGGCTGGCATGCAGTTGTTTCAAAGGTGTTGATTGTGATTTGAAACCTCTGATTGACCAATAAGGATCAAATACTTGCCAGAGTCAGGATAAAATATTGAAATGACTGAGATATTGTGGGAGTTCAAGTCCAGTGTAAACCATCAACGATTGCACTGTATGCTTGCTATGGATATGTTTATTTAGCATTATTATGTTGCCCCAAACCCAGGGACAGTTGCAATGCCTCCATTACGCTCCTAGCCTGTAGCTAGTCATATGTCCGTCAGTCTTTCTCTGTACGGGGCGGCCGGGTAGCCGAGTGGTTCGGGTTCGATTCCCGACATGGGTACAATGTGTGAAGCCCATTTCTGGTGTCCCCCGCCATGATATTGCTGGAATATTGCTAAAAGCGGTGTAAAACCATATTCACTCACTCACTTTTAGACTAACATCTAGTCTCTGAAATGAACATATCGTACAGAAAAAACAGTTGTTCTGTTATCTTAATAAAAATATAATAAAAGGGAGCCCAGTGACTCTCTTCATTTTCAGATACTGCAGTAATCTAGACTTGCCAAAGATTATAGACTTGTGTGGGCTGTATTTGATATATATTTGTATCAGGGTCTGTAAGACAGACTAATTTAACTCACTTTCTGTGTACTACTTCATTTTTCCACTTCAGATCCATCGCAGCCTTCAGCCAGTTTGACGGACGGTTACTATGGCAACTAAGGGAAATGAAACAAGAGGTTAGTTTGTTTTTATTTTTAAACCAGTACGGACATGACATATTTCACAGTGTTGTGTATCTTGCATATTTCCTCCTATGTCTACATTGTTCTGCCGTCATATGTAATACTTACAGATGTTCTGTCATTATGTTTAATCCTCACAAATGTTCTGCCGTCATGTATGATCCTTATGAATGTTCTGCCATAATGTTTGTCTTTACAAATGCTGACATGGGGACAATGTATGAAGCCCATTTCTGGTGTCCCCTGCAGTGATATTGCTGGAATATTGCAAACAGCGGCATAAACACTCACTCACTCACTCACTCACTCACTCACTCACTCACTCACTCACTCACTCACTCACTCTTTCACTCACTCACTCACTCACTCACTCACTCACTCACTCACTCACTCACTCACTCACTCACCAGAAGCCACCCACCCACCCACTCACTCACTCACTCAACCTATGATTGTGGGTTCGAATCCCGGTTCGCCCCGAATATGTTTCTAGGTTTGTCAGCACCATACCCGTACCGAAGTGGTAAACGTCTGAGACCTGCATTACTTCGGGCTTTCCTCCAACATTAAGCTGACACGCCGCGATATAACTGACTGACTGACTCACTCACTCCTGTTGAAATGTTCTGTATCATGTTCCAGGCACCCGACTATTTCTACCAGTGTTTGGAGAAGAAACTGTCCATGAACCTAATTGATATGCTCCGCCTTGCCTCTGCCCTCGATACCCTCCACTGATCTGCTCCAAACCAATTTGGGCTGGTCCAAATGTGCCATAACCAGATCTCAGTGGTCCGGACCAGTCTGCACAAGTTCACCTAGAACTGACTGATTGTGTGTTTAATATGGAATGGATGTGCTAGCACTACAAACAACACTGAATACACCCAAAGTGCTATCATGTGGAGTATATGGCTACTGGCCATTTGTTTCTACTTCGGAAAGGGAGGGTCAAGGTCGATGTCAGTGACATCATAACCAGGGTCATAGAGAACCGAGTATTCAGGTAGCTTAGCAACAAAACTTTGATTCATGTACAGACTAAGAAACCTTGTAGAGAAGATGAAATATAAACTAAATATATGTATGATACTGGTATGTTCAGTTGGAGACTGGGTAGCCTTGTGGTTAAAGTGCTAGCTCATGTCACCAAAGAACTGGGTTTGATTCCCACAAGTGTATGTGAAGACCTCTTTTGGTGTCCCCTGTTTGGTTTGAATGTTGCATCATGTGAAAACATAATCACTCACTCACTCAAGTGGATATGGGTCATAGGTCCCACCAACTTGTGATCCAAAGACATTAATCTCATCATGAACAATGACACACTACAAGTTCTGTCTCAGGAATCAAAAGTTAACGACTTAATCAAGTGAGACCTGTATTCCTCTGTGGATGGAGACTCACAGCAAGACGGAGACTCACAGCAAGACGGAACCTCTATTCCTCTGTGGATGGAGAATCACATAAAGAAGGTTCCTCTTTTCCTCTGTGGATGGAGACTCACAGCAAGAAGGTACCTCTATTCCTCTGTGGATGAAGAATCACAGCAAGAAGGTACCTATATTCCTCTGTGGATGAAGAATCACAGCAAGAAGGTACATCTATTCCTCTGTAGATGGAGACTCACAGCAAGACGGAACCTCTATTCCTCTGTGGATGGAGACTCACAGCAAGATGGAACCTCTATTCCTCTGTGGATGGAGAATAATAGCAAGAAGGTACCTATATTCCCCTGTGAATGGAGAATCACATCAAGAACAAACCTCTATTCCTCTGTGGATGGAGACTCACAGCATGGTGGAAACCTCTATTCCTCTGTGGATGGAGCCTCACAACAAGAAGGTACCTCTATTCCTCTGTTGATGGAGAATCACAGCAAGAAGGTACCTCTATTCCTCTGTGGATGGAGAATCACAGCAACAAGGTACCTCTATTCCTCTGTGGATGGAGAATCACAGCAAGAAGGTACCTCTATTCCCCTGTGGATGGAGAATCACAGCAAGAAGGTACCTCTATTCCTCTGTGGATGAAGACTCACAGCCAGAAGGAACCTCTATTCCTCTGTGGATGAAGACTCACAGCAAGGTGATGCCTCTATTATTCTGTGGATGAAGACAAAGGCGATCATGCTACAGTAAAAATGAAAGTCTATTCTGCTGTGGATAAAAAGATAGGAGATCATGCCACTACAAGAGACATTAATCTACTTATCAACATAGACAGACAAATATGGCTTAATCAGATGAGACCTTTTCTCTTCTCTGTGGATGAAGACAAACAAGTTCTTACCACAGCAAGATAAAACCTCAATTCCAGTGTGGATAGAGACACACCAAGATAAACCCTCAATTTGACTGGAAGAAGACACACAGCAAGAAGAAGCTTCAGATCCTCTGTGGATGAAGACACAGCAAGATGAAACCTCAGTTCCTCTGTGGATGAAGACACAGCAAGATGAAACCTCAGTTCCTCTGTGGATGAAGACACAGCAAGATGAAACCTCAATTCCTCTGTGGATAAAGGCACATATTATCAACACGGAACTTCAATTCCTCTTTGGATGAAGACACAGCAAAAGGAAACCTCTATTCCTCTGTGGATGAAGACACAGCAAAATGAAACCTCAATTCCTCTGTGGATAAAGGCACAGCAAGATGAAACCTCAGTTCCTCTGTGGATAAAGGCACATATTATCAACATGGAACTTCAATTCCTCTGTGGATGAAGACACAGCAAGAGGAAACCTCTATTCCCCTGTGGATGAAGACACAGCAAGATGAAACCTCAGTTCCTCTGTGGATAAAGGCACATATTATCAACATGGAACTTCAATTCCTCTGTGGATGAAAGCACAGCAAGATGAAACCTCTATTCCTCTGTTGATGAAGACTCAGCAAGAGGAAATCTCAGTTCCTCTATGGACAAAGACACTGGATGGTCATGCTACAGCAAGATGGAACATTGCCTCAGCGCAGCAGATGTCAAAGATGGTGCCCTTGTTCAGTGTGGGGTTGACATAAGTTCAACTCAGGATTATTAAATGCTTCCTTTTCAGCTTGAAGCTGGAGAAAGAGATATCTGTACACTTATATGGATAACTGCAGAAGGAACAGAGTCATCCCTTAGGAGCTGTTGTTGGAATCCCAGTGTCACCCAGAGATGTGTACAACCACTACTACTGCTGCAAACATGTGTCATGCAGGTTATTACTGCAGACAGATACTCTGAATCACACACTTTAACATGCTACATGAACTTTGTTCTTGTTAAATGGATATGCTTGCCCAAGATTTTATCGAACTATGTTTTAAAATGAGGTTAGAAAGGATGTGTCCTGTTAAAAATATGCAAAGACTTGTGTGCAGGAAATTAATTTCAAGTCAGTCCTGATAACTTTGATATACTACTCAACTTTTGATAGGGATGTCATGAGTGTCCTGGCAGAGAGTGAATGTGACTGATTGATTGGAGACGTCATATACAGACTCATTTTCAGCATCATTACAAATATTCAGTAATTTATATAACATTCCCTTAAGCTGCAGTTTTAAGTTTGGCAACAGTATGAAATATCAGTATCCCTTACAAAAGTTGAGGAGTATAGTTGTTGTTTTTATACTCCACAGCATATTCACAAATATACTACTCAAAAGAAGTTAACTCCTGTCCTTAGATTCTTTTGAGCAGTATATGTTGGTAAAACAGGAAAATGAATTGGCCAAACCTTAATTGTGATCGTAATGACGAAGTGTAATTGTACACGATGTGATGTGAGCATGGGTAAAGAGTTCTCTCCGAAACATCACATAGGTCATCCCACAAGATCAGACAATGGTGTTCACACAAATCAATTGCTAATGATGGGATGGAAGCGGCAGAAATAACATGGTAATAGTTATACTATACACAAAGATAGTAATCCATAGATATGTAGTCGTGAAGACAGTCTCTACACCAGTTCTGAGATAAGAACTGTATGATCCTAGAAAATGGTCCTACGTTCTTGTAGGGTCCTAATAAAAGGGTCCTACATTCTTGGTCCTAGGTGAAGTGTCATGCATTCTTGAAGTTCCTCAGTTTGTGTGTTTTTCCATCCTTGATTATCTCATGGCATCATGCCTCTGTTCTACCATTCTGTTATGACAAATACCCTGGAGCCATTACCTCCGTAGCTTTGTTCAGGAAGTGATGTCGCTGTCTTCATCTTTCTTATCAGCAACATCGCACCCAATTCATCTCTCTCATGGTTGTAAGTTGAGTGGAAGGCTATTTTTAGACTAACATCTTGTCTCTGAAATGAACATTTAAACTGAAAAAACAGTTGTTAAATTATAGTTATAAAATATAATAAAAAGGAGCCCAGATACTTTCTTCATTTAATCTAGACTTGCCAAACATTATAGACTTGCATGGGCTGTATGGGATATATTTGTTTCAGGATCTGTATGACAGACAAGGCTATTCTCAGCATCACATATTTTGAATCAGACACAAAACAAGGCAATGGTAGCGAATGGTTCCATGTATTTATCATAACATAGAGATACGATGCCTGAGATATTCAGGAATAGTCCTGTTCTTGAAGCACTGAGTACATCCTCTCGAAACCATCACTGGTACTGCAGAAGAGGCATTATGGCTCCTTTCAGAGAAAGTCTGTGAACGTCAGTAACACCTTGGATATTCTGTATAACATTTTCCACAGGACTATTATGACACTTTTTTCAAACAGAAATATATTTGTATAAAAACTTTCATTTCTTCTTCTCATCCATCATTGGTGTGAATTCACAAGGATGCCAATATATGCTGTTTTTATTATATGTCTTCTGTGTATTAGATTTTCTACGATCATCCGTCATATGATAAGCTGCTGTTCTGTTGTTGAAGCTGATTATGTGTATGTTAAGTTTGAGTGTTGCTGAAAAAGTACAGGTGTAACCCCAATTTGACCCCTGTGAAAAAATATCCAGGGGCAAAATTTTAAGAATTTCCTTTCAAAAGATTTGTATTTTGTTTGTTCAAAACAAATACAAAATCTATTCAGTATGTATCAAGAAAAGAAATGAACTATTATTGAGCTTTAGAACTATACTTTTGTAAAGAGCAGAGAGTATAAAAGACAATTACTTGCAGTGAGTAATGAGTAGTCTGGTTGTATGCAGTATAAGGAGTGTGATGTAAGGTTAAAGCATTATTTATCATAGCTTAAATTAGTTCATTAATATTCATATGTCACACCCCTAGGTCTCAACTCAAGAGTTAACCTTTTCTGTAAGTGTTTTAGAAATAGTCTCAGCACAACTAGTCATTACACTCATTCAAAGAATGAGGCATCATGTCGTCAAAAATATTTTCAAGAAAAACAACAAAATAAATATTTGAGACAATCCCTTATGAAATGAAAGAATATAAACGATTCTTTTTCTTTCATTGTGTTATGAGGATAAATTGTGAGGCTTAGTCTTACAGAACCATTTTTAGAAATTTCAATTTTGTAAAGAAAATTACAGATTATCTTATCCAAAATGCCAAGATGCAAAAAAAACAATAAAGGGTTTATTTATAATGAAAAAGTGAATATTTATTTACATCAGAATTATTAATGTGATTTTTAACAAATGTTATTTTCCTGTTTCCTCTTGTTTGCAAATTCAAACATATTTGAAATAATCCAATTTGGTCATTTGTTATTCTTTTACAAAATTTGATGAATATTAATCTGTAAAAAAGTAAAGAAATAACACTGGCCTTACTCACATTTATAAAATATTTTGATGGTTTTACTCTGTGTGTACTATGCTGTTTTCAGATGTTCTACATCACGCCAAAGACCCAGGTTCTATTCCCGACATGGGTACAATGTGTGAAGCCCATGTCTGGTGTCCTCCGCCGTGATATTGCTGGAATATTGCTAAAAGCGGCGTAAAACCATACTCACTCACTCACTCAGATGTTCTATGTACAAAATACTAATACAACTCAATGGTTGTCATCTATTATGCTTCAGATGCAATATTATGTATTGTTAAATACCCTGAGCAATATTACGTACTGTTAAATACCTGGAGCAATATTTCTACAGCACGAAGCTGTCCTTGCGCAGATTTACCGTATTGTTGACTTTGTGTTATATATTGTTGTTCCCCAGACAGTATCCCTAGCTCAGGTAAGCATTTATGCAATTGTGTTAAATTATAATTATTATTAATAATTAAGATGTGTCTAGAAAGTCGTTGTTGTAGTTGTGCAATATAGAGGAAGAAGTCATTCATTGAATATATTTGGTTTTGTTCAATTATCAGTTTTGTCTTCGAGACAAAAAAATGTTTGATGTTGTGTAATATGAATTCTATAAGAAGTAAGTTTTAGTTTTATATCAGTTGACATTGCATACAAAATTAGCTAGAATAAGGGAAAGAATGTTTTGGTATAAGAAGAACTTGCCCGAACTGGGTATCAATATTTCATTTGAAAACCTCAGATTATTGTATTGAAATATGCTATTAAAATAGTTTCTGAGAAATTACTATCTTGGAGCCATTAGACAAGATATTGCTGAGTGCGCACATTCAACTTCAATGCAATTCACTATGCATAGTTGCTTCCCTTGGGCATGCCAGGAATCTATGATCGTGGTTTTAAATCCAGGTTCGCCCTGATTATGTTTCTGGGTTTGTCAGCACCATTCCCGTGCTTGTGGGTTTCACCAAACAACTAGTACTTGCATTACTTTTGGCTTTCTTCCCACATTTAGCTGATATGCTGTGATATAACTGGAAAACTGTTCAAAGTGGCATTAAACCCAATAAATCACTCACTTAAACATACTAAGAGATTATAAATTTGGAAATTAAGTGATCAGGTGTACTCACGGTAAACAATTAACAACACCATAACTGACAAATTTGGTGATATTTTTACAAGCGATCCGGAACGATAATTTGGCAAAATACCAAATGCACCTCTTTTCAAACAAGCTGTATCAAAGCTTAATTTGTTTTATGGATGTCAACATTTAAATTGGCACTTACATAGAAGCGTGAATCTATATGTCTTCTTCAATGACTCCTAGATAAATGGATATGAGTATATACTGTTACAAATTAATGAAAATCCGACATTCGTTATCTTCGTATTTTTTATATGCTTGTCAGAGTATTTTGTCATCGCCATTTCCGTTTCTCTCATCCTTCAACCTTACACTCCATTAAACTCAATGAACGACAGTTTTGTAACCATTTTCATATTTGTACATGTACTGTACAGTTGAGCACATGGTCTGTGTCATCCACACATTAAACAATGATTGTACTATTTGCCTATCTACTGTTTATTCTCCTTCATCAAAAGGCCATCCAACCGATGAAATACAGTGATAGAAATTAGCACTGGTCCTGGAGTCCTTGCCAAACTGCACAATAGTTAAGGTATTATAAGGCTAGTAGATATTTGCCATTATCAAGGGTTTTGCTGTTATCATTATCAGGAGTAGAGGACTAAAACAGGTAGTTTCTATCGCTGAAATATGGCGAGGATTTTTGTTAAATGGAAATGAATTTGTTTTTTTCCAGAGCGAGAGGATAAATGAATGGGTAGGGTTCAAAAGAAATTCTTTTTTTATAAGCTACATGTAATTGAGCACTCTAAAATGAGAAACACACAATACACATCCTATGTGTCGGGACTGCGGCTGAGGTGTTCACTTATGGCCTGCGTGGCTCTATTCCCTGCGTGGCTCTATTCCCTGCGTGGCTCTATTCCCTGCGTGGCTCTATTCCCTGCGTGGCTCTATTCCCAACACTGTGAAGGTCATTCATGGTAATCTCGTAAATATATCACATGTCAAGTGTTAATTAACAAAAGTGGGATGAAAGTACTACTTCCCTAACCAATATTTTTTTCAGCAGTTTCACTTACAACCTTCAACAGTGTTTCTCATTCCGTAAGGGAATCCTGTGGTCAGGAGTTTAACCAATCTCAGACTCCCCCTGGAGATGAAGCTCAGTGTGCCAACACCTATCTATCCTCGTTGGTTTCACGACATCGTAAGGGTTTGCAACATGGCTGGAACTTCTCTCCTTTTTAAACTGACACGGATCAAGGCGACAGAGAAATGTATAACCAGGTGTTCAGTGTTCTTATTGTTTAGTACATGAATGAATGTTGACTCCGGAAGATCCCATTCTCCTTTTCGGTACAAGTGTACTTAACATCAATCATCAGTTATTTCCCTTTAGCAGGCTGAGGTAATTAATAAATGGACATTCGTACTTAAATATATCAGACTTCTTTACTTTACTTTACTTTACTTTACTTTACTTTACTTTACTATACTATACTATACTATACTATACTATACTATACTATACTTTACTTTACTCTACTTACTTTACTTTACTTTACTTTACTTACTTTACTTTACTTACTTTACTTTACTTTACTATACTATACTATACTATACTTTACTTTACTTTACTTTACTTTACTTTACTTTACTTTACTTTACTTTACTTACTCTACTTACTATACTTTACTTTACTTTACTCTACTTTACTATATTACCCGATTATGTTTATAGGGTTTAATCAACACGATACCTGTGCTCATGGGTTTCAACAAGGTGGTAAAGACATGCATCAGTCAGGCTTTCCTTCCACGCCCTTACATAACTGGAATACTGTTCAAAGCAGCATCAAAAACAACTCTCTCCCACACACTATGTATTCAACTGTTTTTTTAAAATATGAAAACATTCTGCCCAATTACAATCCACTTTGCATCATTTCAACATACATTGAAATTACTACGAGCCTGGTCTCGCAAAAAGCTCCCATAATACAATATTTACCAAGCATTCAGTTTGTCACGTCCAGCGCTGCCCATAGCTAACGGCCAGTCAGTATTTCTATGTCTCCATGTTGTCCGTCTACGTTTTGTTCATGTTAATTCTTCATCTTCTTTAATGGCTGTTGTGTTGAGTTTTCTCAACAACTTCTTCTTTTTTACATGTCATCTGTTCTTTGCCATTCTTGTACAATATAAGGGGCGGTCGGGTAGCCTAGCGGTTAAAGCCTTCGCTCGTCACGCCGAAGCCTCGGGTTCGATTCCCAACATGGGTACAATGTGTGAAGCCCATTTGTGGTGTCCCCCACGCCATGATGTTGCTTGAATATTGCTAAAAGTGCCGTAAAACCATACTCACTCACTCACTCACTTGTACAATATAGCCAAGACCAGTTACTGTTTTTGCTCTGAATATGAGGCTGATCTTAAGTTCCCAGGAATAAAAAATAAAATATTAAAAATAGTAATATGCTCATTTAATTTTTTTTAACCTCAAAACAACCCTGACAACATTTTAATTTGTTTTTAAGTTTGCAAAACGTACAATGCAACAGAAAAAATAACAAATATAAAAAAAACTAATAATAATTATCTTTTTTCATCGTCAAAACAAGAAATTATATTGATCTGACCTCAATAAGCAGACTTAGGTGTATTAACAGGTGTATTAATAGGGTATGCACAGAGTGTACATTATCACAACCAATACAGAACTACAGAATGTATTGTCTGACAAACACAGCATTATTGCCGGATGTATTTTCATCCATTACTACAGGGTGTGTTTTCATGCATTATTTAATGCATCAATGTCCATTATCCTTGTGTAGATACAATGACATGAAACCTTTGAGAAGTTGCTAATTCAGCAAAATTTTATATTCAAACCCACTAGTCATCCAGCCATGTGTATATAGCATATATCCTCAATCCTATTGAACTTATGAGATGCCCCCTCCCCTGTTCCTGCCAAGTACTTTCACATGATGTGTGATAATATCAGATATTTTTACAATTGTGATTATGTTGTTATTATGTTATTATTTTGATAATACAAACATTGAAAATTCAAAGACTTCAAAAAATTAAAAAATAACTATATTTGATTTCATTTAATTTTTAAACTTTTGACAAATTTAATGCTTAATGGTCAGTTATATTAAAAATAATATTTATATAATTGGGTAGGGGGGCAAAACAAGAAAATAAAATGGGTCTGTTTTAGTGATGAAAATGTTTAATTAGTTCCACCATTGGTGATTACTAAAAAGACTGATTATGAATTATTTACATGCATGTGTGTTATTAGAATATGTATGGAAATCCAATTGGGGATGTATTTCTTTCGTCAGTGAATGCCTGTTGTTTCTGTGATATGTACAGCATGCTTCTGTTATGAATATTACTTTTGGTTATATTTTAAAAAAGGTAGAATCATCAATGTTTTTGCTGTCTCAATATGTTTTGACTCTTCAATCTTATATGTCACTTCTTTTGGATTGTGTTGATATTATTTTTATTCAGTTTTTTACATATTCCCTCTCTACTAATAGAATGTTAAAGAAGATGGTGTGATAATACTGACATAGGGACAGAGGGAAAAAACACTTTCTTGCCCTTAAAGTACTCCTCTTTATTGTAAAGTACTCAGTGAAAATTAAAGTTGAAAAATATGTACTCATGTGTGTGCACACACACACACACACACACACACACACACATCCACATACACCACAACCCCCCCCACACACACACATTCACACCATACCACACACACACACACACCACACACACATGCACACCACACACACACACACACACACACACACACACACACACACACACACACACACACACACACACACACACACACCATACCACAAGCATGCACATACACATACCACAAGCATGCACATACACACACACACACACACACACACACACACACACAGACACACACACACACACATCATACCATACCACAAGCATGCACATACACACACACACACAGACACACACACACACACACACATCATACCATACCACAAGCATGCACATACATACACACACACACACATCATACCATACCACAAGCATGCAGACACACACTCGAAGACACACACAAAAAAATAATTAATAATCATCCATAGTGTGCAATAAGTTTTCTCTCATCATCAATTGTGTATAAAAAAAATTGACGAAGGTCTTCCCCTTGTCCAGACATACCCATGTTGTGTTACGCTACCTGTGGAGTTCCGAGGTATTAAACAACTCCAGAAGTCGGCAACCTTTCAGCATAACGTTTTGTTTTACAATGAACATGAAACAGACTGCTTGGGTCAGTAGTATTTGTTTCTGTGCTGCTGATATTTGTCTGTTAGATGTTATATTTACTTTTACTAGCTATATATTGTGTTTACTATTAATGTTTTCCTTTTTAATAAACTTTTCAAATTTTATTTTATTTTGTTTTGATTTTTGTGTGATTTGCTTGATATTTGTTTGAAAAGTCAAGCTGATGTTTTTGCTTGTAGTTGGAAAACACTCCCCATTTCAGTCAGCACCTCCCCAGGTCAGTCACCACCTCCCCATGTCAGTCACCATCTCACCAGGTCAGTCACCACCTCCCCATGTCAGTCACCATCTCCCCAGGTCAGTCACCATCTCCCCATGTCAGTCACCACCTCCCCATTTCAGTCAGCACCTCCCCATGTCAGTCACCACCTCCCCATGTCAGTCACCATCTCACCAGGTCAGTCACCATCTCCATATGTCAGTCACCATCTCCCTAGGTCAGTCGCCACCTCCCCATGTCAGTCACCATCTCCCCAGGTCAGTCACCATCTCCATATGTCAGTCACCACCTCACTAGGTCAGTCACCATCTCCATATGTCAGTCACCATCTCCCTAGGTCAGTCACCATCTCCCTAGGTCAGTCAGCATCTCCCCATGTCAGTCACCATCTCCCCATGTCAGTCACCATCTCCCCATGTCAGTCACCACCTCACTAGGTCAGTCACCACCTCACTAGGTCAGTCACCACCTCACTAGGTCAGTCACCATCTCCCCATGTCAGTCACCACCTCACTAGGTCAGTCACCATCTCCCTAGGTCAGTCACCACCTCACTAGGTCAGTCACCACCTCCCCATGTCAGTCACCATCTCCCTTGGTCAGTCACCACCTCCCTAGGTCAGTCACCATCTCCCCAGGTCAGTCACCATCTCCCCATGTCAGTCACCACCTCCCCATGTCAGCCACCATCTCCCCATGTCAGTCACCATCTCCCCATGTCAGTCACCACCTCCCCATGTCAGTCACCATCTCCCCATGTCAGTCACCACCTCCCCAGGTCAGTCACCATCCCCCTAGGTCAGTCACCACCTCCCCATGTCAGTCACCACCTCCCCATGTCAGTCACCATCTCCCCATGTCAGTCACCACCTCCCCATGTCAGTCACCATCTCCCCAT